GTGGGCTCAGATCCTGAGACATAGGGCAGTGTAGATCCAGCTTGAGAGAAATTGAGTTCAAATACAATCTAGAGCCACAGTGGAACAGATCAATACCCAAAGAATCAATATAGGCAATGAGTTAGGGTTTTAGTCTTGCAGGATTTTAGTCTTGACTTTAAAGGACCTATTTTGGATTGTCAGGGGTTCATACATTGCTTTTTAAAAGATGGTTGTTTATTTTCAGGAACATATTAAAACTAGCTATTTGTTTTTCATTACTTTTTTAAAATTTTGTCAGAGTGATAATAATGATATACGACTTTTTAAGAAGCCACTCCAAATGCCTCTAAAATTTTCCTTTAAAAACTACCTAACAATAAATTAAAACAATCTTTCAATGTCCATTTAAAAAGAGGATGGTGCTGTTTTCACTTGTATTATTTTTGAGAGGCAGCATAGTATAATGGTTTGAGATTTAGACTATAGGCCCTTCTACACATGACTAAAAACCCAGAAGTAACCAAGTTAAAAAGGGAGGGGGGATGACTAAACAAAGTTTAGCCAAACTGTGGGTGTAATCAGGTTAACATCTGAAAAGTACATGCTAAAAAGATGTATTTAAAACCTGATTCAGCCTGAAAAATGCACACAATTGCATGAGTGTATATCCCTGCTGTCATGCAAAACACTTGCTTTCCCTTCCTTTCTCCCTGTGTTGACTGCTCCAGCACAAATGCGCTTTTTAAAAGCCCAAAACAGTTGATCAGGCTGTTAAACAGGAAGCCACAGACACAGGTGGCTCAAGGTAAGCACATGTGGAAAGCAATTAGAACTCTCTGGAACTATTTCTTTTCAACTTTGCAATATTAAAGAGAGCTTGAATTAACCATTGGGTGAAGAGAGAGGTCCAATAGAAGAGGGATTTTTTTTTAAAAAAAAAGAATTCACTCCATTATGAGCAGGACCTCATATGCACACATGCAAATCTGCTTGTGTTTACATTAAGATATTCAAGTTTGTACATATGAGGTCCAGTCATAACCTAGTGAATTTTTTTTTTTAAAAAAAAACCTTTCTGCAAGATGTCCCCCATCCCCCTCCCCCATTTTGATCTGTTTCAAAGAAAGATGTGAGGATGGCAGGGGATCGTTTCCCTGGACTGCCAGATCCGAGTGTGAGCCTGCTGTCAGGTCCTGGGATTTTTTGCCTCAGTTATAAAACTAGTATTTTGGTGCTGTCTGGAAGTGTCCTATAACTCTGGAGACCAGAATTTGACTCCCTTTTCAGCATGGAAAGCCAATGAGTGATCTTGGACAGCAAACCACTTTTAAACAAATCCTGCTAAATAAACTCTATGATAGGTTTGGATTAGGGTCACCAAAAGTCAAAAATTAGTTGAGAACATGCAACAACAATCTTTAAAAGATTACTTTCTATCCTCTTATTAAACTACACTCTCTATAAGAAGAGGGTAAGTTACAGAAGGAACTTACTTTAGAATGGGACACATTTTCCTGTGTGCACTATCTTATTGGACAGGCACCACAGATAAAAAGCAAGGATAAGAAAGGGATTGGCAATATTTCCCAATATTTTCAAGGAATGTAATAGAAAAGCATTGATGCCTGCCCATGTAATGAAGTCTCATCTACACTGTAAAATTACTGCAGTTTGACGTCGTTTTAAAGTGCTTGGTTCGTTGCTATGAAATCATGGGGAGTTGTACTTTTCAAGGAGTTTAGTCTTCTCTGTCAAAGACTGCTGGTGCATTCCCAAACTACAAATCTCAGGGCCCATACAGACAGGCCTTAAAAGTGAGAACTCTCTCAGTATTATCGGAGATGTCCAAATGAGGGGTTTCTGAATTAATTAAATAACTGGTAAGATCTGGATCTTTGGTCTTACCAGGTGTGGGTCCAGTGTGGATTGGGCCCGGGGACTATGTCACATGATCCCCGGGCCCAATGCACACAGCAATCTTGGTTTCCAGGAGCAAAAAAAAAAAAAACTGAAAGGGCACCCACCCCCCCCCCCCCCCAAACCCCCAAAGAAACCCTAAAAGGTTTTTAAAATTTTACTTGCCACTATTATGGTCATCCTCGCACCCGCCTGGCACAAGCAAATGACACACCACAAGATGGGGGGGGGGCTCCCCCGACTCCTGGCTCATCATTTCCTTGCATCAGGAGGATGGAGGACAACCATAATGGTGGCCGGGTAAGTTTTTAAAACTTTTGAGGAATTCTTTTTGGGGATTAGAGGTGGCTGCATCCCGATAGTAATCAGGATAGCATGTAGCCACCCCCCTCAGGAAAGCCCAGGTTTTGGATGGCTTGTGGTGCTTTAAACCAATGCAGAAGTGGGATTTTAAACCCACTTCAATAGAGCCCCTAGTGGTGCAGTAGGTTAAAGCACTGAGCTACTGAACTTGCTGATCGAAAGGTCACAGGTTCGAATCCGGGGAGCACCATGAGCTCCTGATGTTAGCCCCAGCTTCTGCCAACCTAGCAGTTTGAAAACATGAAAATGTGAGTAGATCAATAGGTACCACTCCAGTGGGAAGGTAATGATGCTCCATGCAGTCATGCTGGCCACATGACCATGGAGGTGTCTACGGACAATGCCGGCTCTTTGGCTTAGCAATGGAGATGAGCACCAACCCCCAGAGTCGTATACAATGGGACTTAATGCCAGGGGAAAACCTTTACCAATGCGAATTTAAGTCATGTCTGGAAACACCCTCAGGGTTCCATAGCATTGTGTCATGGGACTTAAAGTGATATCACACTCTACAGTGTGAATGCACCTTTAGTTTTGGGTAGCTTAAATGATGCTATTGCCACTGCTTTCTTTCTAAATATCCTGGAAAATACAGCTATATTAATATCAGATAGATACGTGGACAGACAAATATGACTTGAATCCTATTGCTGGTTGCAAATAGAGTAGACTCATTGAACTATGCTTTTACTGACTAATTAACAGTGGACTCAATGAATCTACTTTGACTAGTACTAGCACCAAGATTTAGGACTGTATTTATTTGTTTCTTGCTATTCCAGAGTCGCCTTATGTCTCTTATTTGCCATGCATTTTAGAAGTCTCTTCACATTTGGATTTGTGGGGTTGAGACAGAAAAAGCAATACACTTCCTACAATGCCCAGGCTGCAGACCATATCAGGTATTTCCTGGTTGAGTCCGTTTTGAAATACTGAGCATAACTGCAGAAGTTCTTTTTTCAGATTCCTTTTGTCTTTCTGGATCACTTAACCTTTTGCCATAGCTGGGCAGAACATGATGATAATGATGGTGGAGGTGGTGGTGATGCATTCTCCTTTAAAGGTTCCACTTACATGCTTTGCTGTCTTCCTGTTTCCTTCCTTATTCTTCACACCATATGTACTTTGCTTGCCTCTAGCAATTTTTATTCAGTTACACAAAATGAGCACTAGAGAGCAACAGCAGTTCAATTAATTTCACACTCTCTGTGGGGAACCAAAGGATTTCAATCCTTACACATTGCGGGTGATCTGTAATATGTCCGCCCCCCCCCCCTTGTCAAAGTTGCCAACATTATTCTCTGATATGGATACTTTTATTCCCTGACAACCTCATCATGACAGAAAGGGGGTTAAACAGCTGGTTATCATTTCACTGAAAACCAAACTTAAAACTCTAGCATGAATAGAAATTAAGCTACATTGAGCCTCTAACGTATTAGCAACCACAGATCTTGGGCAAGATATTTACTTTAGACAATGCCCAGAATGCCCCAGCTGTTGTTTGTTCGCTGAGGACTTTGGGAAGTTGGAGTCCAAAACTGAACTTAATATAACACTCTTCTACAATTAGAATGACAAAAAGCAAGAGCTTAGTCTAACCCAGGAGAACTCCCTCTAGTCTTTCTGCTATGGTGCCACTTCTGACTTTTTTTAATGGCGGGACAAAAAAAATAGTGATGTGACCAGGGGCTTCTGGCCCCCAGAGGTGATGCTGACACTTTCCGCTCTCTACAGAATGACACTCAATTTATAAATGGATCATATCAAATTCCATAAGTTTGGCCCCCAAAACCTGCCTTGAGTTATACATGAGATCAACTTATGCATGAGTATGTATGGTATCTACAACTCGGTCAATACAAACCAAAGTTATGTTAGTGAACCAATTATTCATCCACCTTCAAACCGACCTTGTGCAGGGCTGATCCAATTCATTCTACATACAGAAGATGACTGGATCTTTCTTTGAGTGACACTTACCCCAACATGGAAAACACCCTGCATTGCACTCAAGAGCATCAGTATACCCTCCGACGTGCTGGTTAGTTGGTGTGGCACACAGAACTTTGCCTAACAACACCCTACTTTGCCTCCACCCATCCACCATACCTTCCCACCTAATAACAAAAGCCAGCTCTGTATACATAACATGAACTGTTGCATCAGCAATTGATGTTTTGTCCTGATTTTAGATAATGCATGACCAGAAATCAACATTGCTATTTGGGAGTAATAGTAATGTTGTGACTGTAGTCTAGTTTCATAAACACTGGAATCCCAGTTCTCTGACTGATAATTCTAAATGCCTCTCCTGTAACTGCAACTTCCAGGATTTCATAGGTGTTGCTATGGCAATTAAAGTGGAATCTTAGTGCTATACTTGTATAGTGTGAAAGGGCTTCAAATAAGATACATGTGAAATTACAATGTAATTAAACTGACTTGCAATTGTTGTTCTCCCCAGTTATAGAAAACCTTCCCCTCAAAGGCCTTCAAATCAACACTGGTGTCCTTTAAATCAAAATTTTGTAACCAGTTTTGAATTGTGGTAAGTGCTAAACATATTTCATATATGTTTAGTCCTAAAATTATTGTCATTCTTTTAAATAGTTCTAAACAGATGTTATTATACAACTGACCTAATTTCCTTGGATATAAGATGTGATCTATAATTTAATTAATTAATTAATTAATTAATTATGCACAGATGTCAGATATCAGCATCAAAATGATACCTTCAGAGAGTCTGTTATAGGTCCATTTTTTTCTCTTATTTTCTTCAGGTGAGATGAGAAATCAGGTGCTTTCTGGGTGGCTTCTCCCCAATATGACTGTGGGGCACACAGAGTTATCCTCCCATCATCTGGAACCACATCAACCATAGCCAGAAGGGATGGAAAATTGAACATGCCTATTACTAAAATTCTTCTTGCTCCCTTCATCTGCACCAGAATTCTATACAGTTGCCCTAGACACAAAAGGAAACAAAAAAAAATCCAAATCCTTCAATTCTTTGCAACAAGGTTAGATAATTTCACATATGCTGCTGGACTGTGTCCTCATTCAAGCAAAGACAGCAAGTCAATAGTGGAGGAGGATGGGAACTGAAGTACAACATTAGCCATGTGGTTGATAGCTTACAACATTAGCCATGTGGTTGATAGCTTACAATAAAATATAGCCCTACACTGCCAAAGCTGCACAGTATTGAACTGAATTTAGCTACCAGAAGAGATCTGACAGGTAAATGAGCTGTTGGAATTTTAAAAACATGTGACCTATCTCTTCCTGCAGGCCTACCCATCTAGTTGTAATCATTAATTTAAACTTATGTCTTGTGTTTAATCTTCATTCTGTGTATTATAATATTGAAAATCTTTCTCCTTTTTTGTATTGCAAATTGTGTTTTAATATGCTTTTTGCAGAAATGTTTTAATATGTGTATTTTATGGAATGTTTTAGATGATTACGAGTTTTTAGCACTGTTGTAATGTGCCTTGAGCCATGAGGAGAGGCAGGTAAGAAATAAGATGATGATGATGAATATACAGGATGGGGAGATGAGGGTTGCTGCCAGGTCCTACATAACTCCCCAGGTTATGGACACTTAGGCAAATAGTTTTCTGTGACCTCCTTACACATAGAACCATGGATACCACTAAAAATCCAACAGGTTATTCAAGTAAGAGTCACCAAAGGATTCTACTAGTTATCTGGAATGCAGATAGCATTCATAAAAGGGTTTCAACTCTGTCTCAATTTCATTGCTTTTCATAAAATCTAATCTGCCTCTTTGTACTCATTCTTTGGTTTCTGTCCTGCATGGCAATCCAAGCACATTTGCCATAATCACCTTTCCTAATGTAAGAATTTTTGTACCTTGTATGAGAAAATAGAAAGTTCTGTAGTCCTGCTTTTCTCTGATACTACTTTGCTTGCTTTTCTCCTGTGGAAAATCAGTTGTGGGAAGGACAGTCTTCTTCCTTCATGAGAATTGTCCATGCGATGCTGGAAAGCTTTGTGATGGATCAACTGTAGAATTTCACAAAAAGAATAAGTGCTCCTCACCACAAAGGGACCATCTACACTGTAGAATTAATGTAGTTTGACACCACTTTAAGTGCCATAGCTCAAGACTATGAGATCATGGGAGCTGTAGATCTTTAGCCTTCTCTTTAAAAAAGTGAACTGGTGCCTCACCAGACTAGGAGTCTATAACATTGAGCCATTGCAGTTAAAGTGGTGACAAATTACATTAATTCTACAGCATAGAAGGTCTCAAAGTCATTCTGAGGAAAGTGGTGTGGAAGGGGACAAGGCCCAAACTGGAAGAGGAGCTGCTTTTACAAGCCAGACATACCACTTCATCACACTGAAGCAGGAAAGTGTACAGCTCAATCTTACTCCATTTTTACATGAAATGGATTATTTCCCTACCTTTATCACACTGTTAAATGGATCTGTGGTACTCCATGGTACTCAGTATTCTTTCAGTAGATTTGCCATCACACTTTAATCACTAGGCACCACCCACCATCCCCCTTCTTTGGGGGGAAAAAACCCTCTATTTGAAATGTCAGCTATTACATGCCTTCAATTCTAGAGGCGAGGGAGGGAGGGAGGGAGGGAGGGAGGGAGGGAAAGCAGCACTGCTCTCACTCTCCCTCTCTTGGCTAGGTATGGATCTTGGCAAACTATAACTTCCAGGAGGACTCAATCACATGGAGCCATGGCATTTAAAGTGAGGTGCAAGGGCATTCATTCCATAGTGTAAATGCATAAAGAGAATGGTATGGACCTTGGGAAACTATGACTCCCAGGACTGTGCAGCATGGAGACAGGGCATAATAATAATACTAACAACAACAACAACAATAACAATAACAATAATGGCATTTAAAATGGGTCCCAACTGCATTCATTTGATAGCGTAAATGCACCAAGAGAAGGATATGTACCTTGGGAAAATATAACTCCCAATACTGCATGGAGACATGGCATAATAATAATAATAATAATAATAATAATAATAATAATAATAATTTTCTCCCAGCTTCCCCATGCAACACAAGGCACACACATATTATGGAGGGAAGGGAAGGACCTGGAAAGGCTATTTTTTAAAAAAAGAAATTGTTCTGGCAAAGTAAAAACTCGGTGAGCAATAGGTAACACTTTCCCTAACAAGGGTTGTTTTGGCTCCTCCCACAATTTCCCCTCCCACAAATTGGGTAAACATTTCATTGTATATTTGGCCAAAAATGGCCAAACATTCGGATGATTTAAAAAAATACAGTTCCCCACCACCTCAAGAAACATTTTAAAAGAATGTCGGCCCTCACACTTAAAATATGCAAAAAATGCTCTATCCTACACTTGAAGCCAAACTAATGTGATTACAAAAGTGGCTTCCCAGATTTTAGGTGCAGCACTCAGTGGAATTTAGTAAATGTGATGTAGTGGATATATTTTTAAAAGTCAGACCGTGCACATGGCAAACAAGGCCAGCCTACAAATCCATCAGCATCATGAGGGAAGGACCCAGAGGATAAATACATTGTTGGCTGTGCTTCAGGATGTTTATGCAAACGTAGTTCCTTGTATCTATGTGCCAATTGTCCAAATCTTGTGAGATTTCATGGAGATAATCATGACCAGTGTTAGAGAAGGACAAATGATATCTTGAGTAATAAATTGTTGGCCCAGTTCCTTCTCTACAACAGCTCATGCACTTTTAGAATTATGACTTGAAAAACAAAGAGATTTGTTATTCTCTGGAAGGCACCTTCTCTCAAATACCAAGCCAAACAGAAGAATATCAAAATGCCTACTTATGTGTCTCAGTAGGTAGGAGTCCAGTTCTGTAGACAAAAGGGAGAACTCATTTCCTACCATTGTGCACTCCCTACCATCTATCATTAAGAGAAAACCTGATATACAGCCTCAAGATATATATTAAAGAAACATTTACTGTGTTGCACAGGTCTTTGTGTATAGCCAAGAGAAAATAGGTAGAAGGAGGGGCTTGAACACACTAATAACACTGGCCAACCCACATTTTGGTGGCACAAATGTTAGACCTGTTTCTGTATATTTGACTTGCTGATTCCAAAACTGATACCTATCAGATGTAGCTTTTGAGATACAGAACATATGCAATATACCACTCTGCTCACCTATAAAAAATCAGGCTATTTTAATGTAGTGTTTAAATTATTATATTTTAAGCATGAAGGAACCATTTTACAAATTTAAAGATAAGTGTACTATATGGAATTCTATTTATTTCATACCCAAAACACTGATTTATGATACAAACTTTATGATACAAATCTAAGAAATTAGAGATGATGTGGTCAATCCAATGCAATTTTATGAATCACCACACCAAATAACCCCAGGAACAGAACTAAAAACCAAGACAACATATCTTTTGTGTTGTGCTATATCAGGAATAATGATCCCAGTAACAGAGATAATACTGTTGATAAATCTTAGGGCATGTCCATAAGGGCAAAAATCCCATACTCACCAGGATGTCCCCACAACACACAGTAGACTGTCCCCACAACACACAGTAGACTGTCCCCACAACACACAGTAGACTGTCCCCACAACACACAGTGGTTTCAAATATTTCAGGATACTCTGGAGTTTACTGGAAATTCCAGTGTATCTCATAACTTCAGGGCAGTTTGGACAGTGCGACTGGGTCTGATTTAGCCCCATGATCAGTGCAGGGAAAGGGGGTGGTCTGATTCAGTATCACCATGGCTCCTAGCTGGCAATGGAGCTCTGTCTGAGCTCCTGGCCATAGTGAAATTGGCTGGTGTGAATGAGCCCTTCAAGCAATGGTTTTCAACCTGTGGATCCCCAGGTGTTTTGGCCTACAACTCCAAAAAACCGCAGCCAGTTTACCAGCTGTTAGGATTTCTGGGAGTTGAAGACCAAAATATCTGGGGACCCACAGGTTGAGAACCACTGCCTTAACGGCACAAAATATGTGACAATATGCCTCTTTTATACACTACACACTATTTATCTATTTATTTAGTATATTTATTTATATCCAACTTTATCTCTCCATATGGAGACTCAAAGCAGCTCACAACTAAAGACATTTCAATTATTATTTATTTATTTATTTACTTCATTTATTGACCGCCGCTCTCAGCCCTAGGGCGACTCGCGGCGGTGCACAACATATAAAAACAGTTTACAAAAGACAAAAACAAGCAATCAATACAACAATAATACTATAAACTAGTTACACTAAATAATCCGCTCCGTCACATCCTGGAATCATAACCAATATCATAATCCGTAAACCGTTCCAATTGTCAATTTCTAATTGCCGTAGCGCTCAGTTGAATGCCTTCTCAAAAAGCCAGGTCTTCAGGCTCCGACGGAAGGACAAAAGGGAGGGCGCCTGTCTGATGTCAGCAGGGAGGTCGTTCCACAGCCGGGGGGCCACCACCGAGAAGGCCCTTTCTCTCGTCCCCGCCAGACGTGCCTGTGAAGCAGGCGGGATCGAGAGAAGGGCCTCCCCAGACGATCTCAAGGTCCTCGTGGGCTCATAGGCCAAGATGCGGTCCGAAAGGTATTTTGGGCCGGAACCGTTTAGGGCTTTGTAGGATAACACCAGCACCTTGAATTGGGCCCGGTAGCAGATCGGCAGCCAGTGGAGCTGGAACAGCAAGGGCGTTGTGTGCTCCCTGCGTCCCGCTCCCGTTAGTAACATGGCTGCCGCGCGCTGGACTAGCTGAAGCTTCCGGGCCGTCTTCAAGGGCAGCCCCACGTAGAGAGCGTTGCAGTAGTCAAGGCGGGATGTGACCAGAGCGTGTACCACCGTGGCCAAGTCAGACTTCCCAAGGTACGGGCGCAGCTGGCGCACGAGCCTAAGCTGTGCAAATGCTCCCCTGGTCACCCCTGAAACCTGGGGATCCAGGCTCAACGATGAATCCAGGGTCACACCCAAGCTGCAAACCTGCGCCTTCAAGGGGAGTGCGACCCCATCCAGCACAGGCTGTAACCCTATACCCTGTTCGGCCTTGCGACTGACCAGGAGTACCTCTGTCTTGTCTGGATTTAATTTCAATTTGTTCTTTTCCTTTCCTTCTTGTCTGGATTTAATTTCAGTTTGTTCGCCCTCAATACAACTTAAAATATACAAATATTAAAACAGTATTAAACGACATTAGTATTAAAGCAATCCTGGTTACATTTCCTATTTACATTTCCTGTCTAAAATTATACTCTCTAAGACTAAAAGTTTCTAAATGTCTACAGATTTTTGTCATACTTTTTTGGTGTTAAACATAGCCTTTGAGAAAAGTGTCAAGCCCTTTCAGGGCACAAAGTAAGAATGAAGTTTCTTTTCTTAGACTTGCCATACAATTTGGGACTCCAACAACAATCAGCTCTGCAGACTGAAATTAGAAAGCGTGTTGGCAATTTACTAAAGTTCAGTTTAAATAGAACTTGTTTTTCACTGCAGGAATATTAATATTATAAAATTATAAGCATACAAATGATGTAAAGACATTTTCGTATTGGGACTATAAACCAGGACTATATATAAACTTATCTGGTGGATGTCATTTTTAATGTAATGCCTTTGTCTTATAAAATCCTGTGAGTTTTAGTTAAGTGAGGTACTTCAAATATTCTTCTTGCCAGATTTTGGTCATTCCCGAATCCATAGCACTAGAGTGCTCTACTAGAGAATTCTAAACACATCAACAAACTACAAATCCCAGGATGTGCAGGATGGAACAGTGGCAGTTAAAGTGCTATTGAGCTGTAAATGCAATTCAGCTGTAAATGCAATGCAACAGTACTACATTTGCAAGGGACATAAAGAAGTAAAAAGACTTTCTGATAAATGTCAGTTATAATATTTTTAAAAGAGTGTCTGAGGTGGTGAGTATTTTAATATTAATCTGTTGGGGAAGGGTTACATGGTGTTTAGTAGGGGGTTTTCTTGAACAGGTTTCAAGAGGAAAGTGCAATTACCTTGCAAGTGGTCGTAAACGAATTGTTCCTCAAAAACAACCCAATTTAAGACATTTATCATTGCTGGTGTTCTTTAAAAAATTAATGCTTGCAAATACACTCTCAACGTAATTTGTTTTGATGATATATTTCTCAAAAGATATCTGGGAGATACAACTCTAGATATTTGCTGTAGTATCTTTATAGAGGAGAGCAATGGAAAACAGGGTAAACCAAAAGTCTTTCAATCACTGGATCATCATAAGTTGAAGTAGACTTAACAGCAGTCAACAACAACAAACATTGTATGTATGTTTGCACATCTCATCTGCCAGAGCATACCTCTCTCTTTCATGGACCTCCCCAGAAAGTGGAATTCCAAACATGCTTTGTAGATGGGATCTGCCAACATTGCTGGTTTAAGAGATCTGGGTTTTATATGGATGCAAAGTCCAAAGTTAGGGATGTCAGAAGCGGTCTACTCCATCTTATACTCCTCCAGGAGTTCTTTCAACCCCTGAATATACCTCATTAAGGACTGGAGGCCCCTGCTGAATGGAATGACATGTAGTGTGAGTGAGAGAAAAGTTGATTACCCTCCAAAATGAAGTAAAGGCATCGTCTGTAAGTGGAGCTCTTTGGTCCAGAACTCATAGCTACCGGATCATTCAAATCTATGTTAACTATTAGTAGCATTCTACTGTTTTATAAACCAAAGGGTTCACCTTCTGCATCACATGAGAGTTGTTCTTCCTTAATCTTGATTTTAGTTTCATGAGATAGGTCATTTTGATGACAATCCACAGAGGACATTGTCCTAAAAAAAGGGGGAAAGTGATGAAAACCAATTGTAAACATCCCTCTTGCTCTGGTACTCACTTGTAAGCAAAATGTGTAGTCATGAAAAGTTTATACATAAAAACACAGTACACAATAAGCATATATAATTCATCACCTGAAGATTTGTTTGTGAGTTATGAACCCCAATAGCTTGGTTGGGTTCTATGTAGAGCAGAGCTTGAAAAGTTTACTTTGTGGGACCATAGTTCTCAGACTCCTCCATCCAGCATGGAAATGAGTGCTTTGATTTGCCATGAGAGCCAAATGGAACACCAATACTCAGAAGTCTTGTAGCTCTGATTTCCAGATATCAGGAGTAATAATCAAAGATGAATATTTACAAATTTAGTAAGAATGAAGTTCTTTATCAATGTTATGAATCGCACTGAATCTTGTTACTTTCAAAAACTACTGGGGCTAGTAAGGAGAACAACTTGTTTTCTTGATCCCTGCCCTCTTGGCTGATTGTCCAAGGATGAAAAGCAATTTGATCTCAAATACAACAAAATGAATCTCTCAGGAAGGGGAATTTTCCATGCTGTTTAAAACCAACAGTAATCGTTAGACCACTGCTGAAAAATCCCTCCCTGGATCCCCTGGACGTTAATAATTAAAGACCAGTGTCTAACCTTTTTTTGGGGGCAAGATGATTGACAAGACATTTGATTTCCACTCCAGGCAGTCTTGGATGACACAGACTACCTAAATCCATTTCAAACTGGCTTCAGAGCAGGATATGGAGTTGAGACTGCTATGGTCACCATAGTGGAAGGTCTCCGTCTTAACACTAACAAAGAGTGCACATCCCTATTTGTGCTTTTAGATCTCTCAGTGGCTTTTAATGCCATTGACCATGGTATTCTTATGGAATGCCTGGAATCATTAAGGACCGTGGGTATCCTTATGGAATCTGAGACACTGTACTGCAGTGGTTCCTGTTGTGCATCTCAGGCAGGTTAGCAATGGTAGTGCAATGGCTACTCCTCAAAAAAGGAGCTGTTATGTAATATCCCACAGGACACCATTCTATCCCCAATGATTTTCAATATTTACATGAAACCACTGGGAGAGATCATCTGGGGTGTTAACACTATGCCTTCCAAAACAGCTCTAGCTAAGGACATTGTGTTTCCTCTAAATGAATGTCTGGAGGAGGTAATGGTCTGGATGAAGAAAAACAAATTGAAACTAAATCCAAACAAGACAAAAGTGCTTGCCATCAAGGGTCCTAATCTGGGGGTGTAGGTGTGTCAACCAGATCTGGATAGAATAGGAGTCTCAGTACTCTTTTATAAACCACAGATTTCAGGATTCCACATGTTGTTGCCATGGCAGTTAGTGGATTTATAGCACTGTAATTGTGTAGTGTAAAAAAGACCATTGGTTTCCAAATCGAAACCTTGCAGTTCTCTGCTTGTTCTGCCAGACCTCTTTGTTTGAACTGGTGGAAATATCATGGAATGATGTTGTGAGAAGCTCATGGTCCATTGGGTGAGTGGATTGGTTTAGAGCTATCTGATAGGCAGCATGGATGTCACATCACACATATTTCTCATCAGTTAAAGTGGTGAATATGCAATGTCACTTGGTGTAGCTGATTTTCAGGGTAACCTCACTATGTCAGTTGCAAGATTTTGAATAACCAAAATATTTCCTTCCCTCAACCTTCAAAAGAAGTGAGATCTTCCCTAACTGAACAAAATGAATCCCAGAAGGTTTGGGTAAGCAGGCCTCCAGGCCAGTATTTGAAATCCACATCGTCTGGTTCAGCTCTGTTCCCCACATCATCTTCCATGATATAAGAAAGAATTCATAACCCATAACAGATACACTCAGTAACTCCAAGACTGGGAAATTAGGACATTTAAGGTAACCTCTTTGCTACCCCTCACCCATGCTTCAATAACTTTAATAAGATAATGTGTAGCGATTATCGCCCGACTAGTGCAAATCAAACAACTCTCAGCTATTATTTCAGCATCAAAACTAACACTCGATTTTCCCATCGCACACAGACTGGAACAGTTTACACATTGTTAATTCCAAAGAAAAGAACCAACTTTCCTTCCCCATCACAGAACAGGTGCTGATAAATGGGAACTCTTTTGTAAGCTTAGGTGTTTGACTTGCTGTAGCTAAGAAAGGAATAATGAGAGTACCAGTAAGACATCTGAATTAATGATACCTAAAATTAGCTTAATTAATTAGTTTAGTTACTGTAGCATAATTTAGTTAGCAGATTAATTAATGATTATAAAGTAAGCTATTTGGAAACAAAAGTTTTGGTCTGCTGTGCATAAAGGATTTGCTTTATTGGATCAAAACCATAGCTATGGCATATATGTTTTATGTACTATATATTATGTGTTTAATGATTAGTCATGCCTTTCTCATTAAAGTCAAGATCCTACATGGGATATCTAGCTATGATGACATAGCAGGGTCTGGTAATAATAGCTTTTTGTACCTCAGCTCGGTGGAGGGAGGGGGCTGAATGCATTGTTCTTCAGTGCCCTGCTCACCAGGGGCACAGAAATAATTTGACCGGGGTAGAATTAAAAGTTGTAACCAGAATATCAATACACAAGGTGAACTTCTAGCTCCTTAGAGACTAACTGAAATAATGAAGTTAATAGCATAAGCTATAGACTAAGCCTACTTAGTCCCAGGAAGTAGACTTTGGTTGGATCTACACTGACATATAATTAAGAGGCCCAGATAAATTTACAAGACCACAAATTGGGTCATGACCCCAGGTTTAAGAAGCTATGGCCAAGACCAAACTCCCTCATCCTGATTTGCTAGTATGATATGAGTCTATTCCCCTGCCAATCAGAATGCAACAAACTGGTGTTTCAACTCCACCCTGACAAACAATATTTACTGTGAGAGTCAGAAGAATTCCTGTTGTGATGTCTTCTTGCACCAAATATTGTTTGTGGGAGTTAAGTGGAAACATTAGTCTGCTCTACCCCAATCAACAGGAGGACAGTCAAAGGAAAGGGGACCATGCTTGCTGCGGCTTCATTATTATTCATTATTTCACAAATAATGAATAATAATGAAGCATATTTATTGGAAATAATTCCCAATTAATTCAGTGACTCCAAACAACCCATTTTAGTGTGGATAAAACAGCTTAAAATTATTTAATTATTTTGAATTGACCCACAATTTGAATATTTTCCTGTCATACTTAGGTAAGAAATAATTGTGTTACCCGTTAGAACTGTCCAATGATGTTGAGGAAAGTTCCAGTTCCCTTGTTGCATCAAGAGCTTTCTGCAAGCAGGTTCGTAATTCTTCAGGAACATCCGGGTTGCGATATGCAATTTCTCTGGCTCTCTTAAGCATTTCAGCTATGGGCCTAATGGATATTTCTAAAACAACAAATCAAAATGTTTAAATGAAAATATGTGGGACATCTCCATTTCATACGATTTCTCAGCCAAGATGAAAGAGGAAGAAGAGGAGATGGGGAAGAAGATGGAATAACTAGTGGACCCAATGGAAAACTCATTTTTTGAAAAATAAAAACTGGTCAATAATAGAATAGACTACCTCAAAAGATGAGTGGACTCTCTTTGTTGGAGGTTTTTAAACATAGTTTTGGAAGCCACATTTGAGGAGTGCTTTAGACAACTACACTGTCAGTGGTTGGACTAGAAAATCACTGAGGATCTCTCTAGTTCTGTGATCCCATGATTAAAGAATTCTAGAATTTTTTAATTTAACATTTGTACTTTTCTGCAAATCCATCACATAAAAAAAAGAATACTCCTCCTCTGGACATCTCAAACATCCTTGGACATATTCGTTGTCAATTGTTGTCAGGTATACATATTTTCTCTTAAAATTATTGCCCAAAGTAAATTTTATATCTTTTAAATTCAAAAAAATTTCCCCATGAATTCATTTGAATGTTGTGCCCAAAAGCTGGGGTCCATCTTGTATGTTACTGGTTCATCTTCCATCTCAAACGGTATTTATACACTTTTAAAATTACATGATACTCATTCTTGTACAATTCTTAGTAAAATTTTGTTTTCTCCTGCCTCTCTAGCTACTTGTCTCTTATTTTGGTCAAATCTCTATTTAAGTTACAAATAGGAGAATCCATTCTCTTAAGTTTCCAGTTGTCTTATCCAGAGTACAAAAGCTCATGAGACAGCAGCTGTCTTCTATTTTAACTTTCCTAACAAAAGCTTCCAGCAGAAACGAGACTAACATAATCTTGTGGGGAAGCTTCTGTTTGTATTTATGCCAGAATCCTTGAATCATAGAAGGGGAAGAGACCACAAGGGTGATCCAATCCATCCAGCCTCTGGTTAAAAGTCTCCAGAGAAGGTAACTCCACCAAGACAGCATATTCCACTACTAAACAGCTCAGACAATTAGGATGTTTTTATTAATATTTAGGTGGGATTTCTTTTCCTGCAATTTAAATCCATTGCTGCAGGTCAAAGTCTTTAGAGCAGCAGAAAGCAAGCATGTTCCTTTCTTAATGTGACATCCTTTCAAATGTTTGAACATGGCTATCAGGTCCCCTCTTAATCTTCTCTTCTCCAGGCTAATACCTAGCTCCCTAAGCCATTCATCATAGGACTTGGCTTCCAAACCTTTTACTATTTTTCTCATCCTTCTCATCCTTCTCCAGTTTGGCAACATCCTTGAATGGTGGTGTCCAGAATTGGACACAGTATTCCATGTCTGACCAAAACAGAATAGAGGGGTTCTGTTGTTTCCCTTGATCTAAACACCATACTCTTGTTGATGCATTTTAGAAACTCATGTTCAGTTTTTCAGCTCAGATTCCTTTCACATGTACTGTATAAGAGCCTTTCTGATATAATGATTTTAAAAATGCAACATGGGATCTTAATTGGTCATCTTATTGCATTCTTATGTGGCATATTTCCTTTGCATTGTTTGTGTTTTCAGCTTTTATTTCAAATTAAACTGTCATGTAACGGGGGGGGGGGGGGAGAGAAAAGCAATGAATAAAGAAGAGGAGAAGAACAAGAAAAAACATGTTTTCTTTAAACCTTTCTTTGAAGCCAATGAATTAACATATTGGAATGATTCCCTTATAAAGACACACCTAATTGGTTGAGTGCAGTGCCTTGTGCCAACAAACTAAAGCAGTGGCATCCAAAGTTTTATAACTCAGCCCTGCCCCTATAAATTAAAATACCTAGTTCAGCGTTCTGAAATTCCATAGAAATAAAGAAAAATAGTAAATTGCACATGTCAGGCTTCCCTTCTGCAATTTATATTATATTTGTGCATAAGTAACTGATATATTAAATTAAAATTGTGGGTATATTTCAACCTAATACTAAGAAATATACACAGATTACCTTTCAGAAAGTTCTTAAAATATAAATCCTTGGTGCATTCTGTAACAAACACCAGTTATTTTCATCTATAACCCTTGTGAAGATTTCTCTCTCTCTGGATGCATGTGCCCTGCAGAATTAATGAAGTTTGATGCCACTTTAACTGCTATGACTCAATGTTATAGAATTCTAGGATTTGAGTTTGGTGAGGCACCAGCACTCTGTGGTAAAGAAGGCTAAAGATTTTGTATAAGTACAGAACCTATGATTCAATAGCATTGAGCCATGATAGTTAAAATGATATTAAATTGCGGTAATTCTACAGTGTAGATGCTCACTCATAAACACACACACAATCAATATTTCCTGAATGGAAGGTTTCCAATTACTCATTCATTCATCACCCAACCAGTAGTCATAAGTTGTCAGTAAAATAACCTTAGAACAATCTACACAATTCAACATGTAAAACATATCAAAACTCTTTAAAACAATAGTATGCTTTTCATTCGGGCCGGCTCGTGGCAACTAACTGGCTAATGAAGAAAGGCAGAGATTTTGTCTTACTTTGTTTGTCTTACTTTAATTTGGTAGGGTTTTTAAATATGCTGATCAACAATGGTTTTTAATGTTAGTGGCTGAAATTCACTATCGCATTTAGAGATGTACAACCTAAAATTATACAAGAAATAATGTATGACAACATAGAATTACATAGAATCATGCATCTGTAATGGATTCATATTCATAATCCATATGTATTCACAAGAGGACAGTTGCTGCAATCACAAAAGTCTCCAAGTCCTCCATTATAGGGAAGCGTCTGCTGTGAGCAACAGAGTTTTGTTCTCCTATCAAATGGGGCATGACATACTGATGTTTCCAGCCCCCTGCCAACAATCTCTGGTGCGAGAAGAAATTGCAATCTGGATCTTACTTCTGATTGTTGCACGAAAAATCACTGGCAGGGGGGAAAATGGAAATATCAATATGCGGTGCCCTGACCAACTGGAGAACAGATTATTGTTCTTGGCAGAGGCTGCTGCTCAGTAATGCAGGATGGGGAGGATAGAGGCCCAGGAGAACTAAAATCTCAGCAACTGTGATTTAAGTTCTATTCATGTTTAATTCCCCCATAACTCCCAGTGCTATGAGAAAGCCAGGATGCAATGGCAGGACAGAAACCAATAATATTCCCCAAACATTTTTCCAGTGCATAGCAGGGTTGTCAGAATGTCTTCATAGAATCATAGAGTTGGAAGAGACCACAAGGGCCATGCAGGAAAACACACTCAAAGTCCTCCTGACAAATGGTCATCAAGCCCTTTCTTAAAATTTTCCAGGGAAGGAGACTCCACCACCCTCCAAGGCTGCATATTCCACTGCCAAACAACTCTTACCATCAATATTTTTTTGTAATGTTTAGATAGAATCTCTTTTGAAATTTGAATCAATTGCTCCATGCCTAGTCTCCAGAGTAGCAGAAAATAAGGTTGCTCACTCCTTTATATGATATCCTTTCAAACATTTACACATGGCTATCATGCCCCCTCTCAGTCTTCTTTTCTCCATGCTAAACATACCCAGTTCCCTCAATTGCCTCTTCCATCACTGAATGGCTACTAAAATAGTTTGTTGAATAATTTAATATTAGCAAAGCATATATATATATATATATATATATATATATATATATATATATATATAGGAAGGGGTGAACCCATTCTCATTTCCATGTTCTCTCCAGTTTTCTTCTCACCCTTTCCTGCACTGCATATTTCTCACATGGCAAAGATTGCCCAAGCAGAAAGTTAGAGGTGGCATATTTACTGCTTGAAATAATGCCTGCCAGCTAAAAAGCATTGACTTCTGCATGAGTTGTGACATGGCCAAAACCAGATCTCAAGCCATTTCATGCAGAATGCACCTCCAGCTAGAAAAAGATGTAACAGCGAGACACACCCTACCTTTGCTCTTTCTTATCAGATAGAAGTTTCTTCCCTTTGGGAAATGGGATTTTGCTTCAGAAACCACTATGGTAATCTGGGTCTCTACAAAAAGCTGCAGTTTCTTTGATAGTAAGGATGGAAATATAAAGAAGGCTCACAAATGTTCTTCTGCTTAAAAGAAAGGCCTCTCCTGACCCCCACAAAGATGCTGAGTTGAAGAAATGGCAAACTTGCATAGCATGAACTTCATTTTTAAACAGTTTTGTTTTAAAAATCACCAGATATTTTTTGGGGGGAGAACAGGAGGGGGATTAGACAAATCCTCAACATTTGATGCAAAATACTTCTTTTTGCAGACAAAATGTTTTGCGCAAAGAAACGTTTTGGCCCCAAACAAGTTTATTGCTCAATTGTTTTTTGAAAGAAAAAAACACACAGAGTAACATAAAAATGCTGAAAAACTCAGATTGTCTCAATTTTCGAATAATTTGTGTTTACATGACAAAATAAAAAAAGCACCGAGCAACATCATATGGGATTCAACAGTATGGCTCTGCATGAAGCCAGTTGGAAGAAGCATAAAGCGATAAGGGAATGTTCTAACATGTAAGCTGCTGTATCATTTCCAGATAAAAAGGAGCACTGTGTCTGTAAACATTTATTCACCTTTATGGTTAAGTGATAGTAATCTAGAACATGCTACTTTCATCTCTCCACATGAATAAACCACCTTGGTGTGTGCTAGCTTCTTTCAGCTTATTTTTTAATTATTTACCACATTTATATCCCACCCTTCTCACTCCTTAGAGGACTCAGAGTGGCTTTCATATTTAGGCAATGAGTCAATGCCCCATAAACATAAAGATAAATAAAAACATATACATTAAAACAATCACAAAAAATATTAAACATTAAAACCATTTATTTAAAATCACACAGTCTGATGTCATAGTCTGAAGCCATTCCAATTGTCATTGTACCATTCTGTGTTCTCTTATTGCACTGTTACTGCCTGAAAACACTACATCCATGCTTTTAGCTTTTTCCTGAAGGTCTGGAAGGAGGGGACTGATTTGATTTCACTCAAGAGGGAACTCCATAGCCAAGGGACCACCACTGAGAAGGCCTCTTTAAAGTGCTGTAATCTAAGAGTACAATTTTCAAGCATATATGTGTGTATATTAAATGCATGTACACACTGTGTGCACATCTGTATGTGTGTGTGTGTGTGCATCCCCCCCCCCCCCAATGAATGGGCATGGGTTCTAAGATCTGCTGGGGAGGCTCTCCTCTCAGTCCTGCTGCCATCACAAGCATGGTTGGTGGGAACGAGGGAGAGGGCCTTCTCCCCCCTAGCTTTGGAACACCCTCTCTGGGGAGATTAGGTAGGCCCCCACACTGTCCTCCTTTTAAAGGGATTTGAAGACATGGCTTTTCAAACAAGCTTTTGAGAATACTTAGTCCCTAGTTGTTCTGCGCAGTAGTCACACATCCTTGCACTTCTCCATCGTTACAGTTTGCACTTATTCCATTCCTATTGTTTACAGCTTGGCCATGTTTACAGCAGCTTACCACCACTGATTGATTACCAAAGTTTTATTGAGTTTGAGTTGGTGTTTTTATATGTGTATGTGTTTTATTTTATTGTATTTTATATTGTGCTTCATTTTTATGTTTGTTTTTAGGCACTTTGTACCATCTGTAAGCTGCCCTGAGTCTCTCCGGGGAGATGGTGGTGAGATATAAGAATAAAGGTATCATTATTATTATTTATGTGTAAAGTGATCCCTTGGACTTCCCATGGAGACCAAAATCTGTGGATGCTCAAGTCTGATTACACATTGATGTTCCTTATATAAAATGGCGAAATCAAAATTTTGATGGCTGAATTTGTGCAACAGGATCTCTGACTACAGTAGGCCAACTGTATATACATTTTAACACATAATATACAGCTAAAACATTTCATTAATTTACTTAAATAGTTCTGTTCATTAATCAGTCTATTATATTATTATTATTATTATTATTATTATTATTATTATTATTATTATTATTATTATAGTTCTTACTCGTCTCTCACCTGGGTCACAGCACAGTCAAAACACACAAAGACTGCAATTTTTTTTATAAATACACATATTAAAATGTATTTTATAATATATAATATTACAACATATTTCTATAAAACACATATTGAAATAATAATGATGATGATTTTATTTCTTATCTGCCTCTCCTTGTGGCTTGAAGCGGGTTACAGAATTATTAAAACACAGAACACAGATTAAAACACAGGACACAAGTTGAAAATTTAGTGATTAACTCCTCAAAAAGATTTTAAATGCATTAGCAAAATGTTTCAATTTTTTCTTTCTTCATTTACTTAAAATAAAATTGAGATGTATCCAGAATGTTGATGATGGGATGTTCTAACTACAGACAAAGAAGAGAGGTGGTGATATTCCAAATTAAAACACAGGGTGTCTCCTCAAAAATGTAAACATTCTTAACAGTTTATGATTTTTGAAAAAAATGAATTTTTCAAAAATGTATATACCATTGACACAAATACAGAAGCTCATGATTCAAAATTACAAGAGAAACTTTAAGCAAAGTTTGAAACTCTATACTTCCACAAGGCAGGCAGTGATGCACAGGGACAACAATTTGAGCTCCTTATATAAAATTGTAACTTAAGATCAATTTTTTAACATTAATTCTTTAATATAAATGTATTTACTAAGACTTCAAATAACCACAATAACTATTAGTAGCTGTTAAAGGATGTTTACATTTGGCATTTGGGGCGGGGGGGAAGCTTCCTATTCAGGATACCAGAATTCATATTCCTGAAATGTGTCAGAAGGTTGTCCATTATGTTCTCACATACTGTAGATGGCATTCTGTATACTTGGCAAATAATGTTTTCTTTACATATAGTAGAAGTTCAGCTGTTTACTGTATCCTAAAAGTGACTGAATATAATAATGGATTCATTATTATCAAGGTAACACTTAGCATTTATCATCCACTTTAAAACAATCCATCCTCAACTGATCACTTTTCCATTGAGCAACAGAAACAGTTTGCTGAGATATTTAAATGTTTTGTTTGCTAACACACATATATTTTAAGTGATAAGGTGATCCTTTTACGATCCAAAACAAACTTGTCCAAAGTACTATTGGTTTACTTTCAAACTAAAATTTAAAAATACATGCCAGGAAAAAAACACATCTAAATAAACAGAATTATAAAGAAGGAAGGAACAGTTAAAGAGGACCATTCTTAATCTTTCTCTTTAAAAACAATGGAAGGGTCGGGGAGAGGGGATGTTTACCTGTAAAGTGCGGCATTCCCCCAGGCTTCAAAGTGAAGCTGTTCTTGCTGCTTGTTATCTGCATGAGACCAGCAGTCCACAACTAGGGAATGTGCTTCGTTCTCCATGTGTGGGGCAGGGCCACTCCTGTCAGCACATGAAGCGTATCAATCGGAGCCCAAGGGCCCTCTTATAGAATAACTTGGCTGGCTTTCAACACCAGCTGCATGATGCCTGCAGGACTTTCTTTTGTGCTACGGGTAAGGAGTATAAGGACTTCTGACAGCAGTGCCTGGTGGCAGCACTCATGTGTGTGTGTTTATTTTATGAAAGCTAGTTGTTGTGCCTCTTTGTATGCGAGATGGGGGCCCATGCAACAAGAGGTCTCCCTTCTCTAGAATCTATGGGGAAAACAGCAGAGGGGAAATTTACCTGGATAGAGTAACCCAGGTTTCAAGAAGAGACTGTCTTCCTTGCTTGTTACCTGCACAAATCCAGAGGTGCCCAGCCAAGGAATGTGTTTCATTCTCCACATGTGACTGTGCACTGTCACCCGGTGGATGTTCATGGCTGAACAGGGATTTGAATCCTGGTCTCCAAGGTGGTAGTCCAGCATTCAAACCACTAGGGCTGTGTGATCGATGGAAAAATGTTACATTACAGAACTAGGGGGTGCTGGCATTTTATTTCTAAAGTGTTTCTAAAATGTTGTTAGTAAAACTTCTGTTACTATAATGAGTGTAATGGAATTTTGTTACTTTTTCATTATAGTAATTGTGCAAGTGGGGAAATTTCAGACCCTCGTTTCTCCCTCATTTCTACAGCTATTAGGGTGAAACTTGCCACATGTGATGGTCTCTGTGGGACTCCATTGCGGTAGTGCAGAAAAATGGAGAGAAGGCTGCATGGGATGAGATCTTTAGTGGTGAAGATCTTTGAATGAGCATGGGCCAGTTGCTTTCTCCCAGCCTAACCTGCTTCACAATTTTGTTGTGAGCTTTTCTTCAAGAAAAAGTGGAATTAAAATGTAGCCAATAAAATGATAAATCTATAAAGGATTTGGAGATCATTTGGAAGGAATAAGCAATCATACCATTGTATTACATTTCTAACAGAACAAAACAAACAAACAGATTAAAAAAACACAGATTTTGCAAACTTGGTATATGTGATGGAGTGATTAACTGTGAGAAATTGGTTAGATTTTGAATAGGAAGAGCTGGCTCCAAATTTCTATTCACAAAGCTTTATGTGTGACTTTGAGACTGTCATCAATCTTTTAGCTTCATCTACCTTATAAGAATCTACCGTAGACAAGTTGGGGATTTATCTAAGCTTCTCAATAGACAAATGGAATGCAAACATGTCTACTATTTCACAAACATCATTTGATGTTTAGTAGGACTCCCATTCCAGGAATACTCTTGAATATTTCCAGGAGTTATATAAATATTCAATATTCATTAACCCGAATAACTCTGAGGGTTGCATAAAGGTATGTTGTAACCTAAGGGTTCAGGGAGTTGAGTCAAATAAATTATGATATTCTCCTTTTATGTGACAGAGTAAATATCCAGTTTCATGATAGCTCTTTTATTTCAGGGCATCTCAGGTAATTTATGCATTCTAATTGTATTTTGTTCATTACAAAACTATAGGGTTATACAACTAGGAGATGCTTTATTCACTGCCTCTGTACACGTGATCTTACATTTTTGTGTAATGTGACCATTTCTCTTTCATGTATACAGATTAGATAATGCAAGTTTTATAATTCATCTCCACCTCTCCCAAAAAAACCCCCTTTTATCCATCCTGGAGAAACACCTCCCATCCAAAACTGTGTGCAGAGCATCCCATAAAATTAAGTCATGCATTCTAATTGTATTTTTGTTCATTACAAAACTATAGGGTTATACAACTCTGAAGGATGCCTTTTTCACTGTCTATGTACACGTGAGTCTACATGCCAGGGTAATCTGAACACCTCTCTTCCATGAATATAGATTAGATAATTCTAGTTTTATAATTCAACCCCCCAGCACTTTTAACCAATTCAAAAGGAACACCTCCCATTCAAAACTGTGGTCGAAGTAAGCACTTAAAAGCACACAGAAAGTAATTTTTGCAGACACTTTGTGGAACAGGAGGTAGAAGAATGCCAGCATCCAAAGAGATCCTTTTAGCTGATTCCAGTTCTACTGCAACCATGCCCAAGATTTCCAAGCAGACAGATTTCCAACTAGTGAGAATCAAAAATACTTGGTGTCGGATCAAGAAAGGTGAACCTGTTCATGATTCTGAAGATAAGATCACTGCCTCGCAAGCTAAAATGTAAGTCAAGAAGGAGGTTGCCTAATGTTTCCAGCATAAGGGGTTGCAGTAGCAGGAATACCATTATTTCTTTCTCAGGATTAAGTATGAGGAATCTTGGGTTGGTATGATATTTAGAATCTTAAATTATTTGTTCCCATCTGTTTTGGATATAGTGCCATTTTTCCTTAATGTCTTTTTTTAAAAAAACCAAAAAACCCCATGAACTTCTACTTTGGAATACAGATGAAAATACAGGCAATAAGAAAAAATACACCCAATAAATCAACAAGATTATTAAAGAAAGAAAAAAGAAACTCATAGTTCAATCTATATCAAGTTCGGTGAAATAAGTTATAAATGTGATGGTTATTTTGAAACCATGATTATGTTTCTTTGATAGCTAAAGTTCAAATCAATGTTTTTTAACTGTTGGTCTTCCGGATGGACATAAACTTCTAGAATCTCTGTTCATTGGCCATGCCATTTTGGGACTTTTGGGAACTGAAGACCCAACTATCTGAAAGTCAAAGACTGAGAACTATAGGTCTAAGGAGACACCAGTTCAGAGACTGAAGATAAAATTTATACAGCCTAAATATTCGAGAGGAGGGAGAGAGACAGACAGACAGACAGACAGAGAGAGAGAGAGAGAGAGAGAGAGAGAGAGAGAGAGAGATTAGAAAGACAGATGTGTTACTATGCACTAAAATAGAATTTCTTGCTTGCTGCAAAGAATGTTATTGGAAGTTAATCCACAAGAGATGTAGGCATGTGGTAATAACTCAGATGAATCTTTGGAAGAAGCTGATTTTTTATCATCATTAAACGATAATAATATATTTAAAACTCAATATAATATCATGGAAAACAAAGTTTCCAGAAAGGCTAGCAAACTGATTAGGCTTTATCTAACAGTCAAATTATAAGTTGCATTACAGATGTAGAATGACTATGACTATTTATTTATTTATTTATTTATTTCATATGAAAAGCATTGCTTAAATTAGTATAAAACTGATAAAAATAGAGGGTGTGCAGGTGGCTAAATATCTTTTGTCCAAAAACGGGTAACAGCAATGGCATTGTCTGTAGCCTCCAACAATTCCTCCTCTGTACATGGGGCAGGGCACAGTGGACAAGCATACAGATGCAGAGTTGTCTGTTCTGCTCCCCAGTCACACAAGGTATGGGATTCTTTTAGGTAGTGCCATTTTGCCAGGTTGTCTTTTGATCTTCCCATTCCACTTCTGAGTCTATTCAGGGACTTCCAGGCTGCCCATTCTTGATTTGCCCCTGGAGGAAGACCCTTGCGGGGGGAGGGGGGGCATTCAGTTGGGATTTCCTGATTTAGCTGCCCAGAGGGATGTTCTTGTTATTGCTGGAGGGATGCCAAGAGGAGTGGTAGTTCTCATAAAGCTTTTCCTTGATTTGAGTCTACTGGGAGGAGGCTGATAGCCATGTAGTGGATGGCTTTCACAGTGTTCAACCTTATTTCTCTCACATTTAGCAGCAACTTCCCATCGCACATCAGGGTAACTTAAAAATAATATAAAAATCTTTCTCTAAAATTAAAAGAGAGCATGACCCAAAACAGAACCACACATTAGGAGCACATCTACACTGCCCATTTTAATCTGTTTTAAATCAGCAATGAATAAAGTAGTTTATCTGTGCACATGATTACATAAGAAATCCTGGAACCCGTTTGAGGCCCAGATGTGATCATACAATCCACACAGCACTGATGTGCACTGAGGGCTTTTAATTTGCTTGCTTTTTTGGGCATTTGTTAATTTAGTGTAGATGGGGTTTTGGAGTGACAATTTCAATCTCACTCCAACTTGCTTTCCAAAGTCCTCACAGAATAGCCTCTACTGAGACCATGGGACCTTTTCGTTGTTTAATAAGTTCTGCCAAAATGGGATTTCAGAAATCCCAAGCAAGGCAGCAAATGGAGAAGGGTCCCAATCTGATGGTCTTCATGTGGCTCAGGACTTCTTATACATAGTTTGGAGTTATAAATTAAAAGAAGGCCAATTTTGCATGCTGTATATTTAACATACTGTGAAGTTTGACTCTCATACAATTAGACCAACGGTTCTCAAATGGTGCTCCACAGAACACTTAGGGTTCTACGAAGCAAACTGAAGGGCTCTGTGCTTTCCCTCTCCCCCTCCTCCCCCTGCTTCAAAAGTGCATGGGGACAGGGAGGGAGGCACAGGTTGGCTGGTTACTCTCCCACCACCTGTTGCTTCCCTTCTGCACATATGCAGTAATAGCAGGAAGCTCTTTCCCATGAGGAGGAAAGGGGGGGGGGTGGCTAGAAGATATACATGTGTGCCAAGCAATGAGGTTGGATTCTAATGCTGCCCAAGCACACAGTTCCCACTTGCTTTCCCTGCTTGCACCCCTCCCTTTCCTTGCTTGGCATATGCGTGGGCTTGTATGCCTTGCAGCACTCCAATGGATGCCAGATGTGCAGGCTGAGAGGAGAGTGCACGCATGCACCATATAACCTCTCCTGGGCACTTCCCCCACCCCTTGCCTTTTTGGCCCTCTCCTGGCACATAGGAATGACTCGCCAGGAGTAGGGGGGAGGAGGAAAATCGGTCCTGCTCCCCCTTCTCCTGGTGCATCATTCCTACACACCAGAAGAGGGCCGATGGCACTCTTCTGCCAGGTAAGTTATTATACCTTTCCCCCATTTTAAGGGGTTTTGGGGTGGCAATGTGAGTGTCTCCTTGTCTTCTTGGAAGGTTCCAGGAGGGCATGTGGACACCCCCCCCCCTCCCAAAAAAGCACGTGCTTTCTGGGGCATGTGCAGACTAGAATCCCATTTTTAAAACATGATTTCTTCTGAGTTAAAGTGTGGTGTGGAACCACAGTTGACCCTCCACACTAGCAGATTTAACTTTTGCAGATATGGTTATTCATGGATTTGATTATTATAGCCTCCCTAGGCATCTCTAGGGCTCTCACTACATGAAGCATTTTCCCATTGTAGGACACTTTAGGTCCATGTCAAGGACAAAGTGGCATGGAGCCCGCCAGATGACATTTGCCTACTTTCAGCCATCATCCATTGCCTTTAATCCTTTCAATGGAGCTGAAGCATGGTGAAAGGAGGGAGTTGAGAACATGGGTGAAAAATCATGTTCTGAGCCCCTGGTGCACACCACAGCATGTAATGGGATCTGACAGATTCACCCGTGTTGAATCATTTCAGTGACGTGGAGGAATGGGGACCCCACACCATTTTGCTTTCACTGCATTTTCTCCTTAATAGTAATCTAGGCTCGAAATGGTGCTCTTGCTAGCTTTTTAACATAACACTAGTCTAATGGTGAGAAGGAAAGCCTAGCAGGAGGGGAACATGGCAAAGTGGTCTATAATTACACTAGTATAATAAAGGGAAGCAAAGTGTTGCAAGAGGGGATTGGGTATTATACAGGTATAATGGAGGGAGGGAAGGCATGGGGAAGACTTATCATGGCAAAAGCGTTCGTGTTGGCTTGGGACTACCTTTTATTTATTATTTATTTATTTTGCATTTTTGTATCCTGTCCTTCTCATCCCTAGAGGGGGACTCAGGGCGGCTTCACAACAGGCATTCATTCAATGCCAGCAACAGTAATAAATTAAAACAGTTCATTAATGCCTAAATTACTAAAACATTGTTTAAATCACGCTGGTTTGAAATCATAGTCCAGGTCAGTCTATTGTCATTCACAAAAATTGGGCCTCATTCTAAATTGCTGCCTCTACTGTTTGAATGCTTGGTCCCATAACCAGGTTTTGGATTTCATTCTAGAGGACAAGAGGAGGGGGCCAATCTAATGTCACTGGGTAAAGAGTTCCACACATTTTGTGCCTGTGTGGAACCTCCCTAAGATTTGCTTTGTTGCAGAAGTGAGTAAAACATGGTCTTCTTGATGTTATTGGATTTTTATCCCTTCAGCACAAAAAGAATGCTGGGGATTGTAGTCTAGGACCATCTGGAGGGATGCACTGTGCCCTCCTTTGTTCAATAAGAAACATTTATTCAACTCAGGCAGGCCCATAGCCAGGATTTCGTTTCGGGGGGGGGCTGAATTTTTTTCAAGGGGGGGTTCAGAGGGGGCTGAGTTTCGGGGGGGGGCTGAGTCTGAGTGAAAGAGGGTCTACCCTAGCAAACCTTTTGTATCATTACCCCAATACCCCCATGCATATGGGATATATTGAGTATGGTGATCAGATCATGATATGAATAAACATAACAGTTTAAATAATGCACCAGTAAGGCCTTTCGCGAACCACCATGAAAATTTCGGGGGGGGGGGGGCTGAAGCCTCAAGCCCCCCCACCCCCAGCTACATGCCTGAACTCGCTTCCATGCTTGACAGAAAAGTGCCAAAGAGGGTTTTTAAAACCCACTTTGGCACACATTTTTGTCCCCACCCCACCCGCCAAAACCTGGGATTTCCCAGGGAGGAGTGTCTAGATGCCATCCCGGTAACTAATAATAATAATTATATACTTTATTTATATCCCGCCACCATCTCCCCAAAGGGGACTCGGGGCAGCTTACATGAGGCCAAGCCCAGAAGTGCATTACAATATAGTAACATGAAAAGCATAAACAAACATCACAATAAAATAAATCAAGCATAAAATACAATAAACAGTGCAAAGTAATACAGTAAAAGATCAAACACAATAACAATGAGCGGGTCACATGCGCAAGATACAATGATAAAAACTCAGGATGAGATAGAAATAAAACATGTATATTTGTAAGGGAAACTCATGAATGAGGTAGTGGAGACAGTCCTTGATGTGGGCAGGAGGCAGTGCAATATGAGGACACCCATTATAGGGAGAATGACAAATGGGGATGTAAGATCACTCTCCAGAGGCGCAACGGAAAAGCCAAGTTTTGAGGTTTTTCTTGAAAGTTTCTAAGGTCGGGGCTTGCCTAATCTCACTGGGCAATGCGTTCCAGAGTCAGGGGGGCCACGGAGGAGAAGGCTCTCTCTCTCATTCCCATACTTCACATCTGTGATAATGGAAGGGGTGAAAGGAAGGCCTCCCCCGAAGAGTGAAGGGATTGGGTAGGTTTGTGGGAGGAGATACGGTCACTCAGCCACCACAAAGTTCCCCAAAATAAGCTCTTCAATTTTTTAAAAAACTTACTCAAGGAGTACCTTAATGGCCTCCGTGTAAGTTTTTAAAAATCTTTATGGGCTTGTTTTCAGGTTTTGGGGAGGGGGTGGGTGCCATGGAGCCCAGAAAACTGATATGGCTATGTGGATTGAGCCCGGGGATCATGTCTTGTGATTCCCCAGCCCAATCCACACAGAGCCCACAACTGGTGAGGCCTGGATCTTACCAAGTTTCTAATTAATTTGGAGCAAAGCAGGGAAACACTGTCCTGTATCCCAGATTAATTTATCTCAGATTACCTAACAGTGGAGACTCACATAATCCAGTTCAAAGCAGATAACCTGGGATCTGATCCTGGGCTATAAGGACAGTGTAGAAGGCTCCTCAGCTGCAGCTTACATGCATGTATGAATATGTTCCAGATAATGTCTGTCCCTTGGGCCTAATCTCTCTTGCTGAATATCAGTTATGCATACCCAGTCTGCCAAAGGTCTGAGGTAGTATCTTGAAACTCCAACGCTCACTCATCTTCCAAGTCTATTGCATAGAAAGGCTTTCAGCTAAAAGGGGAATTGATGTAGGTTGAAGGAGAAAAGAAGGAAGGGTCATGGAAGAATTGAACAGAGACATTTTTTTCTTTAAAAGATACACCCAGATCCACAGGCATGGGTAATGAACTACAGAAATTGGGGAAAAAATACTGAAAACCATTAGCAGGGTCCAAAATGATAATGCTTTTGCCATAAACTTCAGGAGAAGTCTGCATCATTCCTGCAGCAGCATTAAAGCAAAAAGAACAAGTCACAGATGGATGGATGCCAGTTTTCCCTAAGGACAAACATGGCTGTTTCTGCAGGAAAGTCATCTCTCCAGATAATTAACCATTATGGGTTGCATGATCTCCCTTTCCTTACACTAGAACTTGTTTGTAACCATTAAAGATTAGCCAGAGCATTTCCTTTTACATAACCCCTGATATTTCCAACATACAAACATCATGAGCACATTCTTTTAAGAATAAGCATAGGTTTTGATACAGACTTCAGTGGGAATAGAGTTTTAGACTTCATTATAAATATATTTGCAATGTCCCACTTCATCCGATGGGGGAATTTAGTATCCTGGGATGCTTTCACACCATCTTCTAGATCAGTAGTTCTCAACCTTCCTAATGCCATGACCCCTGAATACGCTTTCTCATGTTATGGTGACCCCCAACCATAAAATTAGTTTCATTGCTACTTCATAACTGTCGTTTTGGTGCTGTTATGAATAGTAATGTAAATATCTGATATGCAGGATGTATTTTCATACACTGGACCAAATTTGGCACAAAAATCCAATACACCCAAATTTAAATACTGGTGGGATTGGGGGAGGGTATTGATTTTGTCCAGTGGGAGTTGTAGTTGCTGGGATTTATCGTTAACCTACAATCAAAGAGCATTCTGAACTCCACCAACGATGGAATTGAATCAAATTTGGCACACAGAACTCCCATGACCAGCAGAAAGTCCTGGAAGGGTTTGGTGGGCATTGACCTTGAGTTTTGGGAGTTGTAGTTCACCTACATCCAGAGAGCACTGTGGACTCAAACAATAATGGATCTGGACCAAACTTGGCACGAATTCTCAATATGCCCAAATGTAAACACTAGTGGGGTTTGGGGAAAATAGACCCTGACATTTGGAAGTTGTAGTTGCTGGGATTTATAGTTCACCTGCAATCAAAGAGCATTCTGAATTGGGCCAAACTTCCCACACATGACCAACAGAAAATACTGTGTTTCTTGTGGTCTTTGGTGACCCCTCTGATACCCCCTCGCAACTCCTCCAGGGGTCCCGACCCCCAGGTTGAGATGGAACCCCATGCCAGCCATCACACAACATTGTGTGTCTTCCAGGGGAGGCCCCGTGCCCAACCAGCATGAAAGCATCCCTGGAGGCAACAACACGGGGAGGCTTCCTGTGTTGTGCTGGCTCCAATGGACCCTTTGCCAGGCCCATATTGTCATTTCAAGAAGAATTGGGATGGTTGAAGAGGCAACCATACTTTTCCCCCAGAAACTCTCTCCGATTGACATGGTAGCATAACCTAGCATTATTCCAGGACTACTAGTAGCTAAATATGACCATATTATATTATTTGTTTCTGTAAGTAAGTATGAATATAATCCATTTTATCCACATGCCCAGATATCATCAGGATGTTTGTGTGTAGACTCTGGCAGAGATTCCATTCTGGCACAGATACACAGACACACCCACATACACACACAACACCAGCAAGATAGAAGCCAGGCTATAGCCTTCCAAATCCTTTCCTAACTCTTCCACATATTGTTCAGAGGATGGAGGTAGTAGCAGGCAAGGGTCTGAAGGCTATAGTTTTGCAAAATCCTACCATAGTGGACCTATTTGTCAGATGATATTGAGACTCAGTGTTACCTCCTCATCTACTCACAACCTCTCCAGCTTTTTGCAAATTAGAAAGGGGAGGGAAAAATTAAATGAGATGTATGACATAGATAACATGGCCATCATTCAGACATCTTCATTGATATTGCCCATTGTTGGCTCTGGCTAGTGTGAGACCCAATTTAAAAAGAAGAGTATCATTATTCACAGTGTAATCATCACATTTTTTATCCCTTTTTTCTTCAGGAAAATGTGGCTATTGAACAAAGAAAAATGTGCACAACTGGCTGTGTCTGGGGCTTTTCCTCTCTTATTTCCGAGGAGGCAGGAAAGAAAGGAGAGCCCCACACCAAGTCTCCACCTTTAAATTTCTTTAAATGTGCAGAACTGGTGGGTCTAGGGCTTTCCCTCTCTTACTTCCACGGAGGCAGGAGGGAGAAGATCCAGCTGGCATTGTTTGTTTTTCTTTTTAAAAACTGTCTTACCTCCAAGGAGGAGCTGTGTCTGTGGAAGCAGGAGGGAGAAGGGAGAGCCCCAGACCCAGTCAGCTCCTAATGTGATAATTAGGCAAAAAAAAAAAAAAGGCAAGAAACCATTTTGGGACTCCAAAAGAGGAATGTGACTATTATGTGGCAGCAGTAATTATGCAGTGAAGTTTGGATATGTGGATCATTGCATAAGTTCAATTCTTTGTCTTGATCAGAGAAACTGTGYCCTCCACACATTTCATGAAGTTTCTCTCACACAAACAAAGTTTTTGCCTTCTACTCAAGTGTCACCTTCTTTTTAGGAACTGATCAACCAGGAACAAACATCTAAAATCCGGGGGGGGGGGGGTAGATTAAAAAATCCTGTGACATTCGAAGATGCAGATATTTGGCTCAAAACCGCACCTARAAATCTCAGTTTTTTCCCTTTTGTAGTGATTGCTTTCATGTTTGCAGGGAATGGCATCTGGCCACCCTCCTGTTTGCTGCAGAAGTTCCTGGGATAAAGGTACTGTCTGGACGGGCCCTGACTCACAGCACTTTCTCTGTTCCTAATCCCTAACAGAACTGAAGTTATCTCAGGTGGTGAGATATCCTGGACAATTGAGGCCCCTATCTACTTCTGCTATAAGGTGGTGGAAACATGCAGTCTCCTGGATCCCTCCAATCAGACACTGCTATATGGGCACATCAGAGAGTCAGGGGAATTGGAGAAGGCCCTCAACAATAAAGAAACACAGAGGCGTTTCATTGTAATAGATAAGACCGTCAATGAACTTTATGGCTCAATAGTTAGGAAGTATTTTGATGACAACTATGTTCAATATAAAATCCTTTCCTTGCCCACAATTGAAGAAAACAAATCTATAGACATGGTGCTTGATATCCTGCAAGAAGTGCAAAGCTTTGGCCTTGACAGGCGGACTGAGCCAATTATAGCAATTGGAGGAGGAACATGCCTAGATATTGTGGGTCTGGCAGCATCACTTTATCGGAGGCGCACCCCTTACATCCGGGTCCCAACCACTCTTCTGTCATATGTGGATGCCAGCGTTGGAGCAAAGAATGGTGTAAATTTCCTTCAGTGCAAAAACAAGCTTGGAAGCTATGTCCCACCCGTTGCTACTTTTCTGGACCGCATCTTCATCCAAACAATCCCACGTCAGCATATCTCCAATGGTCTTGGAGAAATTTTAAAGGTATAAAGTTGTATTTTTATGTATGTTTTCCCCTGTTGGATCTCAGTTTTATTGGATAACTTTACTTCTCAGAACTTTACTGTCAGAAATGAAACTGAATGCCTATGCATGAGTATGAGTTATTTGGCCCGTGTAGACAAGCCCTGAAATGCACACACTTAGGGCACTCCCAGACAGCACTAAATTCCATGCCAAAGTGGGTTTTTAAAATCTGCTTTGGCATGAATTTGAGTCCCCACACCCACTCCAAAAATCTGGGCTTTCTGGGGACATGGGACCCCCCCCCCCCTAAAAAAGAAGCCCTTTAAATGTAAAACAACTTACACAGCTACCATTAAGGTACTGCTGGAGTCCTCTTGGCACACTGAAATGATGCACTGGGGGGGGGTGATTTTCCTCCTTGCCCCCTCCACCTAGTCTCCTGGTGTGTCATTTCTACATGAGGACTCCAACAGTACCTTAATGGTGGCTGGGTGAGTTGTTTTACATTTAAAGGGCTTCTTTTTGGAGTTTGGGGGGAGGGGTGGGTGCCATCTGGCACCTTTGGGCTCCAGAAGTCCAAAAGGTCCGAGATGTCAATGAGGACCCACCTCCAGGTAGTCCTCACAGGCCCAGTACCTCATTAGACCTGGGACTTTCAGAAAGGCCTGAATCTAATGGGTTATATAATTGATTTGGGACAAAGCAGGGTTTACATGTTTTGTCCTGAATTAATTCGCTTTTACTGGAGGCATTGTTTGGATGCCTCCAGTAAAAGCACAACGTCTTGTATTTTTGGGCCTGTCTGGAAGTGTCCTAAGAGGTTCCAGGTGCTTTCCAACATGGTACCATTTCAAGCCGTTATGAATGTCTGAGCAGAGAAATGGCAGCAGCAGGCGGTAGTGGTTGGCTTCTAGAGTCAGCATTAATACTTTCCTCTCTTCGTGGATGACTCTTGACTTATCCATGAGTCATATTAAGATCCAGCATCTGCCCTTGACTTATTCATAAGATTGACATAAACAGTCAAGCTCATGTATAAGGATATATTATGTATATCTGTTTTAAAACTAACATCTTCTCTTACATTATTTTGAGGATGAAACCTTTATACTAGCCATTCTAATGTATTATATTCATTCTCTGTTTAAGATGGCACTCATGAAACATAAATGCCTATTTGATTTATTGAAAACCCATGGAAAATTCTTACTGGATACCAAATTCCAGTCGCACAATGGATTAGTTGATCATGGGGATGCTGCACTGAAAACAACCAGAATTGCCATAGAAACTATGCTGGAAGAACTTGCTCCAAACCTTTGGGAAGATGATCTGAACAGACTGGTTGACTTTGGTCACCTTATAAGCCCAGAATTGGAAATGGTAATTAAAAGTTTATGTATTTAGAATCTGAGAAATGTATATTTTGCCTTGTCAATAGATAGGCAAGCAAGGCTGGTTTAGAACAACAGAACATAATGTCTGTCTGTACTGTTAAACACAAACATGTATAGCATTACATTTTCATCATTGCTTAAAATACCCAGAGGTGAAGGGTACCCTTTTTTTTTTCAGCTGAAGGACTACCACATTCCTATCATGTTAAATATTAGTCAAACCTAAATGACAGAGAAATCTGTCACCATTCTGTTTGTCACATTACAGTTTGCAGATGGGAGGGTCTAGACACATCATTCTTCAGTATTCACCAGCATCATATTACTCCTATGGTTGATGCACACTACTTGACTTACCGTAGGTAGATTTGGGGGGTGGTCATTTGTGGTTGCCACTATGATGTCATAACCATAAATATGAATGACAACATTTATAAAGTCACAAGATTAGCCTTGTAGCTTTGCATATACTAAACCGAATGTCAGCCATTATGCATATTAAACTTGCATCACTTCCTTGTGTGATAAAGGCTTTAAAGCATCTATCTGGATTTGATCTTCTTTAGCAGGAGGTCACTGGCAGGTTAAGGTGTATTATAATTTCGAATAGATTGACAATATGGAAACAGAGCATCAAAGGGGGCACACCGGGACACTCTAGCCCAGATCCAGTTGCTGATCCCAGCTGGAATAGATCTATTGATTCAGCTTGTGGAGGGCAACTGAGGGCTTTTCTACACATGCCCTAAAACACAGAAGAAAGTGGGATAAAAAGGGTAGGGTTACCAAATGACATTTCACAAAAATGCATGATAATTCAGATTAACAGCTGAAAAACACATATTAAAAAGGAGTGCTTAAAACCCAATTTTGGCCAGAAAATGCACATATTTGCATGATTGTATATCTCTGCAGTCAAGGAAAACATGTGACTTCATTTGTATACCCTGGTGTGGACTGCTCCAGCACATATGCACATTTTAAAATCCCCAAACAGCTGATCTGGGCTGTAAACAAATGGAGCCACAGATACACAGGTGGCTAAACAGAAGCACAAATGGAAAGCAACTACAATTAGAACTCTCTGCAACCATTCCTTTGTTTTGATCTTTATGAAATTGAACAGAGCTTGAATTTACAGTAGAGTGAGGAGATATAATAAGAAACCTACTTGTGAGCATTTAAATATCCACATGAGTGCAAAGTCAATTAAATAAAGTTAACTTTCTCAGGATGTCTCCTATTTATCTTGTGGATTTCTAAAACCCACTACAAAGGAAGGTGTCAGGGAGGGACCATTTACCGGGGCTGACAGTTCTGTTTTTAGATTTGCTGTCCCGCGATTTTTTGCCCTACTTATTTTTCCTGCATTTTGACATTGTCTGGAAGCACCCTATATCATTTAATTAATCCCATTGACAAGTCTACTCTAACTTGGACCAGCAATTCAATACAGGTCTCTGATAGCCAACATATTAGATCTCCAAAAAATTGAGATGCACTTTGTAAAAAACTGTTGGCATAGAGTTCAAGCTCTGCAATTAATGTTTTCTCCTGTTTGTTTTTGTTGACTCACTTTACCTGGTTAGAGCTGGGGGGTAGAAGGGTAAGGGCTTTGATCTACCTTGGGTCACTACTTGTTATTTCTCTAAGAAAGGATGAATTTCTGGCAAGTTACCCTGCAAGCAGAATTGTTTTGGGTCTCTTAAACCTCCCCTGTCTAATCACACAATATTTTTATTCCATAAGTATTGCATTACAAGTATTTTACCCTTAATTTCAGAGAGCGTTACCATCACTGATGCACGGAGAAGCTGTGAATGTTGACATGGCTTTCATGACTTACGTGTCCTATGTGAAGGGACTCTTAAATGAAATGGAGAAGATTCAGATTATTCAATGCATGAGTTCTTTGGAACTCCCAGTATGGCATAAAGAATGCACATGGCATCTTATTAAAAAGGCCCTGACAGAAAGATTGAAACACAGTGCTGGCCAGATGAGAATGCCTCTTCCAACTGGGCTTGGAACAGCAGGTACGTTGGTATTGTGGTGTCTAGTTAGTTGTGTTGTATTTAGGCCATTTGAAAATAAGGAACTCCTTTAATACCCAGGAACCAAATTAGGGCAAGCACTGACATCAGGTGCCATTGTTAAGCAAGGGGGGGGGGGGAGAGGAGAGAGAGAAACACTTGAGATTTGTTCATCCCTGCCACTTGGGTTCTAAGTTTCCAGGTATCTGGTGAAAAAAGTTAAAATATGAAATGCACCAGCATGCAATACTAATATTTAAAATTAAAAGACAACATCAGGGAAGATTGTAGATTTTTCTACAGATATTTTTAGGAAAATATAGGCAGGAGAATAGTATGCAATAAGAAGTACAAGTTGTATATCCTTTGTCATAAATGCTTAGGATGGGAAGTGTTTTGGATTTTTTTAAATCCTAGAATACCTGTATTTGCATATACCTACATAATGAAATATCTTGGATTTTGGTCCTAAGTTTAACCATGAAATTTATTTATATTTCATATACGCCTTGTAGAGATAGTTTGAAGGTAAATTTATACATCATTTTAAATAATTTTGTGCATAAAACCTTTGTTTTTAAGGCAAAGATTTCACTGTTTTAGCCACCCATGTGAACAATTTTGGATATTGGATTATTTTGAATGTAAAATAATTTTAAACTTCCCTCTTTCAAGGGAAGTTAGATTTATCTCAGACTTGCTGAATTTCCACTGGCAGACAAAACTATATAATTCGATGCCTTTCAAAAGTTTTTAAAAATTATCTATCATCTATCTATCTATTGGAAGCCCTTATTAAGAAAATAATAAGTTGTGTAAGTAAACAAGTAAGTAAAATAGATCCAATTAGCTGTAAGACTAGCCATTTTAATTTTCATTATGCCTTGGAGATTGTGAGACAATAAAATGGCAGCTCCCAGCCATCAGCTTTGACTCAGAAATGCTGTTGCTAATTAGTATTGACACCAGTGGCACATCTACACTGTCCATTTAATGCAGTTCAAGCCAACTAGAGATCCATCTTTGATTAAGAAGAAAAATATGCATGCACTGCATTCTTTGAATTAATTCAGGGAATTGGTGTACATTATAGCATAGTTCTCCACTACTATGATTTATTTTCATGTATTTCTCTCACTTTCTGTTTTAAAACTCAATTGACAACTTTGTGATCACCAGTTTATGTGGTATTCATGCATTTGTTCCTAACTGCATCCTAAAGTTTAAAACAAAGAGAAAAGGGATAGGGAAAATTTCAGCCTTTGAAGTTATCAAAAGTTGCAAGTGCATAAAAGTGATGTCATCTAATATGCTAGTGTGCCTGTCCCACAATTTATAATTGCATGTTAATAGCTTTAATTGGGTTCCCTTATTAATTACAACCCTTTAATAAACTCTGACGAAGCATTTCCCTCAGATATTATACAACCAGCAGAATTATTATACAACCTCTGAGATGTAATTAAACAGGCAACTTCAAGTAATTGCATTACGGCTGGGTAATTCCCTTCCCAAAGCTTAGTGAGTATCAAAAGCCTTTAAGTAGCGTATGTAATTCCCATTACAAAATCAGACTTCAGTTTCTGTCTTGCACACATTTACTTGGGAGGAAGGTTGCTAATGCTGAAAAGTCAAAAAAACTCTTGAGTCTAGCAATATTGAGCATGACAGGTAGACTAGCCCATAGGAAATGCTCTGTTTGTAAAGACATGGGGGGAACTAGTTTGTGAGAGTTGTGGGTTCAATTCCTCCATCCATGATTCCATTCTAAGGAATCTTGGGATGCATAGCTTAGTGTGGAAGGCCTGGGCTACATCAACACTGTAGAATTAATTGCCACGGCTCAATGCTACAGAGTCCTGGCATATGTAGTTAGGTGAGGTACTCGCACTCATTGACAGAGAAGGCTAAAGACCTTCTACAATGTATTTATTTGTTTATTTTGAGAATTTATACCCTGTCCTTCTCACCCCCGGAGGGGGATTCAGGGCGATTTCACAATAGGTAACCATTAGATGCCAAATACAAAACTATAAGATAAACAGTTACATTTAAAACAAAAATTAAAAACAATTATAAATATTCATTTAAAAGTTCTGCCAGTTCAAAATCATAGTCCAAGATCAGTCCATTGCTGGTTACATAATATCACACTCATTCTAGTTGCTGCCTGTTGCTCAAATGCTTGATCCCATAGCCAAGTTTGAATTTTTACAAAAGGATAGGAGGGAGGGGGCAGACCTAATTTCATTGGGAAGGAAGTTCCACAGCCAAGGGGAACTAAGCAGGTCTTGTCTCTCGTCCCCACCAGTCGTGCTTGCGAAGGTGGTGGATCAAGACCAGGACTTTCCCAGATGATCTTAATCTCCTTGATGGTTCATAGAGGGAGATACATTCGGACAACCCCCATAATAACAGCATTGAGTCACAGCAGTTAAAGTGGTGTCAAATTGCATTAATTCTACAAGGTTGATGCGCCCTCTGATGTGGAATGGCAGCTTTGAAGGAACTAGTCAAGATCTTAAAGTGTAAAACTGAACACCAAAGTCCATTCCAACATATTTCTTATTTCTGTGTATGGTTGTGAAAGCTGGACGGTGAAGAAAATTCTCAGGAAGCAAATCAACTTGTTTGAAATGTAATGCTGGAAGAGAGTTCTATGGATACTATGGATTGCCAAAAAGCCACACAAAAAAAAGAATCCGAGTCCGAACTCTCCCTGGAAGTCAGGACTATGGATGTTTAGTAAGGTAGAAGGGAACAGAAAAAGAAGGCCACATTACAATTGGATAGAATTAATCAAGGAAAACATGGCTCTGAGTTTATTTCAATTTTTGTTGCATTTGTATGCTGTCCTTGTCCCAGAGTGTAACCATGATTGGCTTTATTAGTTGCTTTCTTGTTTTTCAGATATATTCAATGACATCAGTGAGGAAACTCTGGAAAGGGCTTACACACTCTGGACCAATGAATGCAGGCCTATCTCTATGAGATCATGAAGACAAGAGAAATTTCCGACTGGCAACAGCACTATTCTCCTGCTTAAAATAGTGTAAACCAGGAATTCACATGATGTATTCATGGACAATGTTGAACCAGTAACTCTTTGACAATATTCAAATGCTTGTCCGCATGGAGGAACAGCCCAGAAGGAAAGATCACCTATTAGCAGTAACTGTCTTTAGCGTCAATTCTACCTCTTCATGAAAGAGAAAGAGATTCCATCTCTCTGATTAACTACTTATGGTGGCCCCTTCATATGGTTTTCTTTGCTGTCTTTGGAAAATTGCAATCTTCTTGCCATCAGGTGAAACTGAGAAATGTGCAGTGTATTAGGGGTGAGGCACTGGTGAGGATAAGCCTCCCACAAGCTGTTTCTCTGGTTCAACACATTAGTGCAATATGACAGCATTTCTTGGCTCCCTGAATACAACATATGAGACTGGTTGCAACTTATTAAGTAAGAATCACCAAACCAAGAGGCCAGTTATCTAAATACTATTTGGTTCAATATGTGCATCCCTACAATCTGATTTGATTTTACAGTGCATCTTCCAATATGTCTAGACTTATGTGAATTCATATAAGTAGATATTATTCAAGTAGATATAAATTAGGTATATTTTGCATGTTTAGCAAATACCCTAAGAGTCTAACAGTATGTTTAACAATGTAGTATTCCCAACTTGCATTTTGGAATATAAACTGATACATTGGGGGGAGGGGTATAGTAATATTTGGATAAAACAGGAGTAGGAAACATCAGCTCCTGGGGCCAAATCCAGCTATCAGTTTTCCTAGATCAGGCATGGGCAAACTTTGGCCCTCCATGTGTTTTGGACATCAACTCCGAGAAATCCCAGCCAGTTTACTAGCTGTTGGGAATTGTGGGACCAAAACACCTGGAGGGTCAAAGTTTACCCATGTCTTTTCAAGATCATTGGGCATTATTGGGGAACAAGATCCAAAATTATATAGTTTTTTTTTCCTGCCCATTTTCTAAAAAGCTGAAATGCCTGTAGTTTAAGCTAAAGGCCTTTTTGGACTCACTATTTTATCTTTGGTCCTATGTGGGCCTCATACCATGGGTATGCGGCCCACACAGACAGAATTTGATCCTTGAGCTAAAAGATTTCTTCGCCATTGCAATAGGGCACTCTGGGGTGTCATGATAAGGTTACAGCATTAGATTGCATGTGTTCTTCAAACAGAGCACTTATGCAGAACTGTCCTAAGGGCATTGGTAGGTTGTTGATAACCTCTTGTCATGTGTTGTGGCATTAATAGATTTTGGAGAAACAAATGTTTGTCATATACAGATTTCCATTAATGCTTCTGTTGCTTTATGTTATACATGCATTTTTGTAGTTTTAATTAAATCTATACAGAGTCACAGAAATGAAGACCCTTTTTTTCTAGTCCCATTGGTTTTTATTTAGTGTGTTTCTTATGTTTCTATCCCATTAATTGTACTGGTACTTGGAGCATGACTCATGTCATCCTTACTTCCTCCTCACAAGGACTGTAAAGTAAGCCAGGTTGAGTGAGAATGAATAGCCTCAAATTTCCCAGTAAGCTTTATGGCTTCATGTTAAGTTGAAACTGAATTTCCCAAGTTCAGCCCAACATCTTTCTCCTTGAAATGGTTCTGGCACCTGGATTGACGATAATTGGAAACATGAACATTACTTTGACTGAGAAGGTATAAGTGTCTCCTCAAAACAGAACCAATAAATCCTGGACAACTGGAATTATTTGAAAGACATGGCTGAAAATGTTGAAAAGCTACTTTAAAATTCATTCTAAACCCAGACTGGAGTCACTGTCCCACTAATATGGTAGCCAACAAACTCTACACACTTCCCAGACCTTTTGAAACAGCTTCTTATTCCCTGGGCCAGTTTGAAATCTTGAAGTCTCCAAGAAGCTATCATTACATCTTAGGATCTTACATAGTCTTAGTGTATCCTGTGTACTCACACAGTAGGCTACAATGGCAATAATGCCAGAATAATGTAGATTTCCTATATAGGAACCTTGAAAACCTTTCAATTATTTCTATTTTCTTTTTTTATTCAAAAGCTCCAAAAAGTGTTGGGTTGGCAGACAATGGCCTTTTGTCACAATAGCAAAGTTATTATTAAGTAAGTAAAGGTAAAACTTTATTTATATCCCTCCCTGTCTCTCCATGGGGACTCAGAACGGCTCACAGCATAAAAGTCAAAAATTCAATGCAATAAAAATACAATAATAAATTTAAAAATAAATTAAGCAATATAAAAACATTCAACTATATAAACAATCACATAAGGAGAAACAAAGTAAATTACACAATATCATTAAAGCCAGGATTAAAAGACATGTCCATATTCCCTTCCTTGTTTCATAATAGAAGTGGAATCCCATGCATGATTCAGTTGGACAAACTGTTACAGTTGCTTCAGTGCAAGAAGGGAGAGCTGTGCATCCCATTTCCTGCTATGCACTCCCTAAGCTTTTGCCACTTCATCATTCCTGAACCAATGGTCATTTGAGACACCAAAAACATTGTGATGGCACACCTGAGCCTTTGGGAAAACTATATTGTCTGGCTTTACTTGGGGGCTATCTGATACCTTCTGTAAAGATTAAGACCCTTAGCAGACAGAGGAACTTTGAGAAAAGGTGAAAAGATAACCAAATGAGTTTACTGAAACAAGATGAATAAAGGGTTAACCCCCCCCCCCCTCATAGAATAACTTAAAACAATACATTACAAAAGGAGAACTTGCTGGTTGCAGGCATCTTTCGGGGGTCTTTGAAAGCCTCTTTTGCCTATGGTGCCAAAGTGATGGTTATAAACTGCCTTAATCTTCTTTCCTGTGAAACTTGGCTGGCCAAACACTTCTGTTGTCAGTTGGACTGATGGTATAAAATACTGCTAAATGCAGCAGCAGCAAAAAGTGCTAAGAATATCTGTTTTGAATTGCTAGGCCTAAGATTCCAGACAATATCCAAGCCTCTAAAAGACTGTAGGCCTACTATAGAAAGAAGGAGGACTCCAGCAAAGGAGCTGTATGGGGAAATGGAACAAACCAACTGAGACAGGCCTCTGAGGGATGTTTTAAGCTCCATCCAGAAACTAATACAAAAGAAGGTCTCTACAATATTGGAAAGGCCTATAAACAAGGGGAACTGAAGCAAAGGAGAGGAAGGCAGAACCAGGACTTCGTGAACATCTTGTCTTTTGTTCTCTTGGTAGAAAATCATTCTGCATCAGACTTTGTCTCAGACTTGCAGTTTTCAGTCTATTGAGGCAAGGAAAGAAAACATAGACAATACATAAAACATAGTCTGTTTGCAGTACTGGTCTGGTACACTAGAGAGCAGGAAGATGCTGAGCAGATATCAAGTGGTTGCCATTTCATCACACTAGAGAAAAAATCCACTTAACAGTATACCTTTATTGTGTCTTCCCCAATTCTGGGATTTGCAGTTTAGAGAAGAGTCCCTAACAGCCTCACTAAACTACAAACTCCAGAATTCTGCAGGAGGCAGAAACCGGATTTAAAGTGGATTATTTCTCTAGTGTGAATCTCCTTACTGGTTGGAGGGTGGCTTGAGAGAGGGATGGGGAAGACACAATAAAGGTATACCGTTACTAGTTGACTAAGCGGTTATAATATGGCAGTTGCTAGCCAGTATGCCATCTGATTTCAGAAATTAAGCATGGTTAGGCCTGGTAAGTAATTAGGTGGGAGACCATTTAGCAGAAATATTGGTATATTATCAAGTAATGCTAGATTGTACTTGGAAAGAATCCAGCTTGAAGCTGTGGAGAGCTGGTGCCATTCAGGGCTGGATGAACCAATAGTTCTATCTGTATAAGACAATTCCTTTGGTTAAGTACATCTGTCCTTTTGCATAGCCTGTCCTAATTTAGAATGTGTACCAGCGCTCAATGTGTTGCACTGTGAAATAGAAGCCCCCTGTTACGTCCCATTGTGTATCATCAGAATTCACTAGTACAGTTGCTTTCTGTGTTGACAGTGTAGCTCCATCATCATGAAGTTGCACATCATATCCTCTGATACAGAATCTCAGCTAATATTTAACACAATTCAACTTCCCATCACACAAGTGCACCATCTCCTCCTTCACCACTAGGTCCACAAACAATTGAGATTACTTTATCAATAGATTATAGATAGAGGGAAGGAGGAATTGGCAAAAATAATTAAGAATGGGAAATCTGAATGGCTTGCTCTCTCTTGTTTTCCATTGTTTTGTTTTTTTTCAAACAATCTCAGTGCTTTTGTTCCTCCTTTGTTATTATAGACATTTGAGCTGTCTTATGGCTGGCTCTTCAGCTTAGAAATGGAGATGAGCACCACACCTCAGAGTCAGACATGGCTGGACTTAATGTCAGGGGACTACCTTTACCTTTACCTTATGGCTGGCAACCCCCTCAGAGGATTTTCTTGGCAAAATGTATGCAGAGGAGAGTTGCCATTGCCTCCCTTTTAGGTTAGGAAAATGTGATTTCCCCAAGGTCACCTTGTCTCCATAGCTGAGCCCCTTTCTTCCTTTAGGCCCCTTTCTCTCCAGGGTCCAACACTCTCTAGCCCAGTGTTTCTCAACCTTCCTAATGACACAACCCCTTAATACAGTTCCTCATGTTGTGATGATCCCCAAGCATAAAATTATTTTCGTTGCTACTTTATAACTACAATTTTGATACTGTTATGAATCATAATGTAAATATCTGATATGCAGGATGTATTTTAATTCACTGGACCAAATTTGGAACAAATAACCAATACGCCCAAATTAGAATAATCATGGGGTTGGAGGGGGTTGATTTTGTCATTTGGGAGTTGTAGTTGCTGGGATTTATAGTTAGTTTTTGATCAATTTTCCAAAATACTCAAATCTATTCTTATCTGGGATGAAAATAATTTGATGTTTTAAAGCAGAACAGAAGTCTAAGAGCTAAATTCTTAAAAGTCTGCCTTGAGTCCCCTTTGGGTCTGACTCTGAATCCTTGCTTCTACTATGTTGAGATTGCCCTCCTCCCTTTTTAGTCTGAACAAGTTCTTTTCTTTCACTTCACACTCCATATTCAATAGAGTTAGGGACACAGGACTCATACCAAAGTGAAAAAGTGTGGATAATTTTAAAATCCCTTTAGGAATATCTAGGTCCTATAACATGACTATATGGTCAACTTCTGCTGGATTTTGACCATAGAATCATGCTGAAGGAACCACAAATGCCTAGACAAGAATTCTCTATGTCCTCCAGGTCAACCCTGTGGTCCACTTTGACCATACAGTTATGCTGAAAGACATTCCTAGAGATAATATATTAATCAAATCTAAGAATAATTAAATATGCAAAAAATAACCCTACAAATGTGGAGGACTGGTTGTACCTATCATATCTGGTGATTTCTGATGGTCTTAGGAATCTTTTTGGCAGCGAAGGCTTAAGATCTCTCCACCTGTCCTTCTCTTCCTTTTTGGAAACAGACTGCAAATTCTCCCACCAAAAGGCCTCCTCCTCTGTGATTGGCTGGCCTCTCAGCAGGCCTCTGAGTCAAGAGCAGGGCTGTTTCTGAGATTCCAAGTGGGAAGGGGAAAGCGGGTGTGCTCGGCGCATGGCAGCATGGTGCACATGTGCAGGTGAGGGAGAGCATATGAGACTGGAGGGAGGTTCGTGCCAGTGAGTCCCTTCAAGGCATGGGGGTTCTGTGTGGTTATGTATAAGCCAAGTTGTGTGTGGATCCAAGGCAAAGATGAACCATGATAATTCACTCATTTAGTATCCTGTACAGAATGTTGATATTGCTGTGGACCTCTCCTTTTTGTGAAAGATTATCTTTGGGTTTGGCCCTTTCCCTGTCATTCTCATTACAATTCCAAAGGGATGTGGGAAATCTATAACAAAGGAGAATACCATCATCATAAGGTGGAAGTATCCTAATATACATTAGACAGTTCAATGCTAAATGTTCCGCAGCTGCCATCTCTCTTGAGCTAAGACTGCCAGTGATGCAAATTACATGCTACATTCAGACAAAAGTACTTACAAATTGGAATATTAAATCGCAACTCACATTAGAGCAACATGAATTTCCCTGGTATTCATTGGATTAGGACTGATCATATGGAACTAATCTAATGTGTTGCATGGATGTCACATTAGTTCTGCATTTGTCAGAGAAATTATGTAAAGCTGCAAAATGTAATATAAATGACAAACCTGGAATGCAGGTCCATGCCTGTACAGCCCAATTCTACCTTCATTAAAACCGCACAAGTCAGTTACCACACATCATTCTCACTTCCTATCACACTTCTTTTTTTGTTGTTATTGTTAAGTTGAACTGTACCTATTCAGAAAATTCAGCTTATACCCCCAAATACTACACATTCTATGCAGAAAAACACAAATAGTTCAAATAACATCAACCACACGTGGTCTGCATAGTGCATTATCACTAGAAGCCTGAAGACAAAATACCGAGTAGCTGCTTCAGTTAAATATTTAAAATTTACAATTTGCTCTCTCTGGCCTTCTTGCTTTGTTATTGTATGACATGAAATAATTTCTGATTTATGGTGATCCTAAGGTGATTTTTGTTTGCACAATTTGTTCATTCTTGGTTTGTTGTTGGAAGGATTTGAGAATCTCTTCAGCCACATTCACACTGCAGTTAAGAAGGTTATACTAGTGCTCTTTCCAGCATAGTCTAATTGAAGTTTGGTTCCATCCGGTGAGCATAGAGCAGTGGTTCTCAACCTGTGGGTCCCCAGATATTTTGGCCTTCAACTCTCAGAAATCCTAACAGCTGGTAAACTGGCTGAGATTTCTGGGAATTGTAGGAATCCCTGGAATTTCTCCCCCTTCATGAATCCCAGATCATTGGCTATGCTGGGAATTATTGGAGTTGTAGGCATAACCATATGGAAATTCTATGGATGCCTACCACCTTCACTGTTATTTTCAGAACCTTGTTCCTGCTCCATGTCTTTACCACACTTTTTTTTTTACAAGCCATACTTCCCTTAGGTTCCCTTTCCTCCTTAATCTCATCTCCACTTTTGCTCTTCCCCTTTCCTTCACTGATTTATCCTGTTCATATATTCATTTCTGAAGATAGGAAGGTGTATCCCAGAATGTGATACTGTGCATGTTAGCACTGATCTTGAGTTTTGGAGTTGTACTTCATCTGCATCCAGAGAGTACTGTGGACTCAAACAATGATGGATCTGGACCAAACTTGGCACAAATACTCACTATGCCCAAATGTGAACACTGGTGGAATTTGGGGGAAATGGACCTTGAAATTTGGTCTTGCCTTGAAGCCAACACCTACAACCAAAGAGCATTCTGAACCCCACCGACAGAATTGGGCCAAACTTCCCACACAGAACCCCCGTGACCAGCAAGAAATACTGTGTTTTGTGATCATCTTTGCTGATGCCTCTAGCACCTCCCCTCAGGTCCTCCTCCCCAGGATGAGAAACACTGGTTTAAAGCCCTTAAAGTGTAGTGGAGCATTTGCAGCCTGCATCATATAAATAGTGCATTGTCAAGCTGCCTTCAAACTATATTAAATGATCAGTGTAGATGTGCCATATTACTGCTGCCTACATTCCTGAAAGTATCTTGAAAGTAGGCATTGCTAGTTGGCACCCTGAATTGAAAAGCTATTGCAATGAACACTTGTCCTTCCAGTTCCTCTAAACACAGGGAGAACATACCACAGCTATCAGGCCCGTAGCCAGGATTTCGATTCGGGAGGGGCCGAGTTTGATTCGGGGGGGGGGGGAGTGAGTCTGAGTGAAAGACGATCTACCCTAGCTAACCTTTTCTATTGTTACCCCAATACCCCCATGCATATTGAACATGGGATCAGATCATGGTATGAATAAACATAACAGTTTAAATAATGTACCAGTAAGGCCTTCTCACGGACCACCATGAGAATTTCAGGGGGGGGGGGCTGAAGCCCCTCAAGTCCTCCCCTCCCCGGCTACATGCCTGATGACTGTTAAGATAACCAGACTGGAAATGGGGCAGGGTTCCTGTAAGATTGTTGAGTAGGATGACATACTATATATAAAGCTCCATCCAGTCAGATAAAGGTACCTCACCTTCCAAACACCATCTTTCAAGCACTGCTCTCCCCTTCCAACACAGCTAGTGGAAAGTAGGAAGGAGAAGGCTTTGCAGATACCAGTGATAAGGAGAAAGTTGGCAACCTTAGATGCTACTGCTTTGTCTTCCTGGCGTGACCTGTTTCCAAACTAGATGGGAAGCAGAGTTCTGCAGGACGTCATTATCTATAGATTAGAGTTGTCCCTCAATTTACCTGAAGTTTAAGTGTGAATCTTCATTTAAAAAATATCTTCTAAATCTACTGGTGACAAATAGCAAGGTAATCAGTTATTCTCAATATGACTGGAGTCTCTCAGTCAAATGGGAGTTGAGCAGAACTATAGCAGATTTAACCTGAACAGTCTCACAAGTTGCCTAGTCATAGACTCTATAGCAAATAAATAATGGTCTTATGTTGTCACAAAATCAAGAGGAATGCTTTTTTATTAATTTTACAAGGCTCTGGGGATGTACAAATTTGTTCTTGGAGCAGAAGGCTGTTTATAAAAAAGTTGTGGCAAGTCACAGGGATCTGGGGAGCCAGCGTAGTTAGTTTATTTATTTACCTTATTTATATCCTGGCTTTCTCTACCCCGAAGGGGACTCAAGGCAGCTTACAAGTGACACCTACGCCATGCCTCAAACATACAGTATTCACTTAAAAATAACTATATTAAAATTACTGCCATAAAGTGGTATAGTGGTTTGAGTGTTGGACTATAGCTCTTAGGCATGGAGATCTATTGCATTACTTTGGTCAAATCACACACTCTCAGCTTGAGAAGGGTTGAACAAGTTAGAAAGGACTTGAAGGCATATGCCAACACAAGGTCGAGAAATGGACTGTCCAAAAAGAGGACTTACATGCTGTGGGCGATTGTTTTCAGTACAAATATACCTCAGTTAACAAAGTAGATGTCAGCGTTACTTCTTTAACAGAAAAACAAAAAAGTAAGGGCTCAGCTGTTGCAAAGTTTTGTGCAGCAGCCTACAAAATCCGTGAGGGAATGACTGGTCCCAAAAGTTAACTGTGTATCCAGTAATCATCTTCCTGGATTCTATAATTTGCTGATAGACCTGTGCATTGTATGTTTTTGCCATTTCCCCTTCCGCTCTCTCACCCCCTATTGTGCTTCAGTATTTATATTTACATTTGATATCTACCAAGTTCATATGAAAATGTGATTTTTATTTCCTGTGTAGGTCTATGGCCGAAATAAATGATTTGATTTGAAGTATAAGGAATTTGTAAAAAGAAACTAATTAACTGAGGTATAGCTGTATTGAAAAATATCGCCCCCAGGTCCTGTGTCTGGTACCATCCATTTCTGCTTCACTAATACTGTACATATGATTAAAAATTTCTTGCATTATACAATGTGCACTTGCCTTATCAGTCCAAAGCCAGTAGATGGCAGAAATGAACTTATGTGACAGAGAGATTTCAATCAGACAGCCTTGGTATTCACTACCACGCAAACGCAAGTCATATATTTAAAGTATTCCTGGTATCTTTTGTTATCAATGTATGTATAACCTGAGTGTTGGATCAACTGGGATTTTGGTGTGTATTTCATCTATGTGCCATTTTTCCTTTAATACAGAACACAAGGTGGAACATGAAGACGTGATAAGCAGTTTCCGGAGCAATGTCAGCTGTTTTCTACTAGTTCCAGAACTTGCCGGGGTGCCCGGATGCCACTTCCTTTTCCTGACCAGTATATGGCCAGGAAAACACACTCCAAGCTCTTATAAGTTGCATTCTTCAAGTAGAGAAAGGAATGGAGTTATTGAATATCTCCTTCTGCACTGTCCAAAAAAGGACATGCACTCGCACGACTACAGGTTACACAAGCATAAGCCATCAGTGGAATCTCAGCCAAAAACAGTTGATTGAGCCATATTAAAAGAACTTGAAGCTTTCTCCACCTGAGGTAAAGAGTAACTCCTTTTCCCTTAACTTGAAGTCCAATCCTGCAAATGTTTTCTCAGAAGCCAGCCTCACTGAATTGGAAAGATTTGATCCCAGGAGAAGTATTCACACCATACATTTGCTGGAGATTTGCAGTGGCAACGTAAGAAGGAAATGTTAAACAGCTGCATTGACTGAAAGCAGGGAAATCTTTATATACCACGATGTCTTTTTTCTGTGTGTGTGTGAATTTAGAGCGCAAACAGAATCTAAGATTGCAAGTGAAAAAAGTCAGGGGAAGGGGTTAGGTGCTGCACACAAACATCTAATTTAATGTTTCTTAGATTTCTTTTAAATTCAAAGAAGAAGAGGAAGAAAAGGAGAAGGGGAGCAAGTGGGGCAGAAAGTGGCAAAGAAGGTAAAGAGGAGGAGGAGAAAGAGAAGGAGGAGGTGGGGGAGCGAAGGGGAAGGAGGAATTACCATCATCCTCATCATTAGTATCTATAAGCTAGAGCCAAGCCAATTCTTTCTTCTTTGACCCAAAGCTTGATCTGTTGTTCATGCTCACAAATCAATGCTGAAATATAATGCCTTGGTTTGGGACACAGCATTCATTTGCACTGTTCATAAATTTTATACAGCCAGTGTATGAAAAACCAAACACTTTAATCCATCTATTAGGAACAGACCAAATTATTTAATAGGCTTACATTAATATTGACCCATAATTTACAGTGCGATGGATCATACACAACTTATTGCTGTGGCCAACAGCAGGTGAAAAGATCAATAACAGCATGGTACTAAGCATCCAGAACAAGAGGCAGTAGTTCATGTCACTTTTTCAAGATACAAAGGCCTTTTATACCATCAATTTCCATTTTTTCACCAGTGCATTTTATGTCCAAAAATACGATAAGTGCATTATTTTGTGCTTTATTTATTTTTCCTCATATGCTTCCTAAAGGCTTTATAGGCATTGGAGTTAATATTGCTTTATCTACCTATCTATCTAAACGTTGTAAGGAAGATGTTCATGGCACTAAGATATCTGACATGTTTTTGGCAAAAGTGAAAATTGCTAGGTACACAGTGTACCTGGGTGTTCCATGACTTGCTTCTATTTTTGGCATTTGGGCTATTTTGGGGGGCCACTTAGTCACTGCAGTGTGAACATGTGATGCTTTGCATAATGCCTGACCACACATCAGGTAAGTTGGTTGCCTTTCCCCTGCAGATGCACCTAGCATTAAATCCTGCCAGTTTTGTGGCCATGGTTCCATGTAGTAATAAATAAATAAAACCATATCTGAAAATTTCCATTGCAATGCTTAATACCTGCTTTCCTCCAATAGATTTGCAAGAAGGTGAATTGAAAATTTTAAAACATAGAGGTTCCAGGAGGAGAAAACCCAAACAGAGTTTGGTGGAAAATACAAAACCAAAGAGAAAAGGTGACTGCAGGATATGATGATAAAGCCTGTGAAGTCTAGTAATTTAAGAACAGAAAATATGGCTCCTACATAATATTCCAAGTCAGATCTCAATTTGGTGGTGTTTCCAAATGTTTTGTGGCAGAGTATGCCTTGAATTGTGTTACAAGGTATGGATAATTCCTACTAGGAATTGAACAATATATTAGCCTGTATTTCTTGATTTGAAACACTGCAGAATGGAACCCTGGTTTGTTGCTCCCAACGGGCCCCGTTTTTATTAAAACGGCTCCACAGATCGACAGTTGTGTATTCGTGAAATGGTGGATCCATCCAATCCAATCTTACCTAATCTTTTATTTTACTTTACTTCTGAAGAGAGAGGCCACTTGTATTATTAAGGACCAAGGTTTAGTGGAAGAAGAATTATGGATGCATGGGTTAGTGTTTGAACCCAATTCTCCCATATTGTGATGGTGGAGTTGGGGAGATGAATCCAATATCCTTCCCCCAGTTAAAAATCCATCATGTTTCTTGCAAATAGTGTATACCTACCCACCGGCTGATCACTAAGCCTTAGAACATGGATCCTGGTGGGCAAACAGTTATTCCTACAGAAAGTTGAAGGTCTGCTGTGAAGATAAGTCAACCTGGCATTGTGGCAAAAACACAGTTCAAATATGGACACCTATAATAGCAACATTCATCCATAACAATTATCAGTGCTCAGTCAATCGTGAACAAAGAAAAACATTACTTCTTGGGTACTTAGCGGGTTGGAAGATATCTTTGCAGTTAAGAAAAAAAAATCTTCCTATTATTTAAAGCCAGAGTTCCTGCCTCTGGCTATTTTTGTTTCCTCCAACAAATCCATAGAGAGAGCTGCAAAAGGAGACTAGGTCCAGGACCTGCTTCCACCATCGGCAGTACAATATAAGGGAGCACAATTTGGTGTTTAATGGTTTCCAAGGATGTTTTGTAAAATCAAATTATGCAGTAGCTCTTTGCTTTCATCTACTAACCACACTCTGATCACTGTTTCAGACTAACAATCTGGGAACTTATCAGTTGCCCTTAGCTCAGGTTTCCTGACCATGTAAGGAAAGCTTGCACAGATAAGGGTCTAAAACCAACAGTGTCCTTTGGTATCCATCATCAACAGAACAGGGCTTTCCCCCCTTCTGCCTCCTTCTGCAGCTGTCCACAGTTAAAAAAACCAGATGATTTCTCAGCTTCATGGAGTAGGTTTATAGGTTACATGGTGGGATGGCTGCAAATGGAAGAGAGGATTGCCGATTTTGGTGGAAGGAGTGAAATCCAGACAGAGTTCAACATTGGATCCTGGTTATGGAATCAAGTACTTCAAGATATATTTCCAGAGTTACCACATAGGACTGAGGTGGAGAAAAGGAAGCTGCTCCTTCAGGACATGAGGGCAATACTCCACCCCAACAACAGTTCTCTCCCCTCTCCATTCCCAAACTTCTCTTAAGTCACACATCAGTCAGTGCTAGTTCACAGAAACTTCAATAAATTTAAGGCACTTCATTCCGAATGAGATATATGCTTCCCTGCCATCTGCAAGTCAACTGGGCGTGTTCCTTATGGTAGAAGTTAGTCACTTGTCCAACTGCTGAGACGCACGCCACCACTGTATAACATATTTAGGCATGATAATAATAATATTACACTTGTCACTACTGTTATTGCATAGGACTATGCTGGAGTAGATAATGCACAGAGAACATGCTCTTACGTGATAACACTGTTGCATGGTTAAATTTGACAGCATCAGTAACAGTCACCTGCAAATATAATCAGTTTCCATTGCTGAAAAATGTAACAGTACACTAAAGGAAATAGCAAAAATGTTTTCAAACACATTACTATTTGTCCTGCATCATTAAAAATAAATATGTTAAATTGCAATGGGGGTTTATCCCTCCCATTTTTATTTTATGCAGAGTTTCAGTTTGTTAACTAGACTAAATCTGTACTATGATTTAAAGATGTGTCAAAACATTTCTTCTACATGAAACTGTAATATACAAAATAGTCACAAAACCACTCTTGAAAAGACAGGAATCTGCACAAAAAAATTATCTTGCTTTGAAGTGCGTACCAAGAATGCAAACCAACCCTTTCAGTAGGGCTGAAAATGTCAGAAAAAATTGTCACAATAACTAGAGGCATTTTCTTACAAATAAAACACAAATGTACTCTGAATGAAAAATAACTGAAAAAATCCATGCAAATCAGATAACTTTACAATGCATTTTTTTTTAAAAAGAAGACACCAATTGGTTATGTCCAATTGATGGAAAACAAAACAAAAGAAATATTGGTTAAGAGCTTGAAATATTCATCAGTCTTATATGGGTAAAATACCAGTATAGATTCCATACCATAACTAGGAGTGAGTTCTTATTAAAAAAGAAAAAGAAAAAAGAAAAAAAAGGTTCAAACATGATTTAGAAGGATGCTTATTACAGAGCAAAAAATAATAATACAAATTTTAATATCATGGAATTTCTCTCTGTGTACCTCTCTTCATTTTTAGCTTGTACTTTAATCAGAATCAGTTTCTGTACAGATGGCCTGTTTATATATATGTATATATATATATTATATCTTACGCTGTGGGAAAGAGTAACGTGGATTAACATGTACTATAAGTTTAAAAGAGGCACTATTAAATCAACACAAAATAGCTAATTTGTTTTTGGCTTCTTTACATTCGTCTATGTTTTCTTTCCAAGTCAATGGGTTTTCACTGTAGTTATAATGAAGTGTCACTTTTAGTGGATCATGGACTTGTGGATCGGTTGATCTCTATTGCTTTCAAGTAGACATGAACTCGTTTGGAGTTCCTGTTGAATCTGGTTCACAGATGCAGTACAATATTGTGGAAGCATTGGTAGTTTTCAAACAGAATATACAAGTCTCTTCAAACATTTTTTTCCTAAAAAAAGTCACATACACTGGGCTATCTGAAGATTTATATTAAAAGATAGTTGTTATTAAGAAAAAACAAAAACAAAGCCAAATACTTAATCTACTGATCAAGAAATGAAGAAGTTCATGGAAGGGCTTTCTAATTATATCCACTAGCAAGCATGGTCGGTGTCTTCCATGCTCACACTGCTCCTTCGGCTACTTGTTTTTGAAGCTCCAGGAGAGACTGATGAAAGGAGCGGGTCAGTAACCCCGACGGGAGAGAGGGTATCGTCCATCAAGATGTCTTCTAGTTTGGATCCCATTTTTGTTGGAACAGCGTAAGTGCCAGCGGTTGACTCAGTCACGTTTGCCAGGCTGTCATTGAAAGTGATAGTGCCATCTGTAAGGTCGAGTGTGGTTGTGCAAGATAGGTCAGGGTGATGCTGCAAGATCTCTTGGCTGCAGTTGTCAAGGACAGGCTCTTGCTTGATAAGCCGGTTGACCATTTCTGGTGAGCAAAGGCCTGTAGATGGGATGATGGAAAGTCCATGTGCTCGAGCCTGCATCTCAAGTTCCTGTAATGAGGACAGAGGTACTTCAATTTGTCATGTATCAGCATTGACTTATTACAATCCTATCATATGGTTTTCTGGATGTGATTTATAGAAAACAAAAAGAATCTGATAACTCATAATTATTGACAAAACACAAAGCAGAGTCAAACCAAATACTAAAATATTCAAAGTATCATATATACTCATGTATAAGTCAACTCCATGCATAACTCAAGGGCAGGCTTGTGAACAAAAAAGGTTGATTTTGATATGACCCATAGATCAGGGCTTCTTAAACTGCTTTAACTCATTAACTATTCCATCAGTTTTTTTTTACATGACCCAGGGTAGATTGGTACATAAAATAGGTATAAATATCACATATATACTTATAATAAACCAATCTTCCCAAGGCTTGCTAAACAGACAAACTGATTTTCTGGGGCACAGCTGAAGCATTTTTAGAAGAGTCCACTACAAACACTGCATTTTGTTACTAACAGATTTGTGTAAATGAGTGGCATTCAGAAACCTTTTAGTGTTGCTGAATTATTCATGGTCCCACAACTGAGCTAAGGAGATGCCATTTGAGGGCACACAGTTTGGAGGGCCCACAGTTTGAGAAGCAGTTCCTTAGATAAACCGAGGGTCATTCTGCAAAGAGGGGACAACTCCAATGCTGTCTCAGGAGGCCAGCCATCCATGGTTATCACCACCATCTTCCCATCCAGGCAAAGAGAGTAGAGGAAAGTCAATAGTTCTTTTAGGTCCTCCAAAGACAGATTAAGATTTTTCCTATCACTACTCTACTCAGAGAAAGAGAAGATTCCTTTCTTGATAAATACCATATTTCATTGTATAATAGTCACATTTTCAATAAGGATGCGACTATTATTTAAGGATTTTTTTTGCAGCTATGGGGCTTCCCTCAACAGCTAGCTCTTGCTGGCAGGTATGCAGGTAGGTGAACGCTCACATGCCCATGCCTCTCCCCTTGGCCAATGCAGTCCTCTGAATTTTGAAGGGAAGAGGATATCCAGGAGGCGAGGAGTTTTTTTTACTAACATATCTAGGCATGTACAATGTCATGTGTATATAGAGTACGGTTTATTGCTAAATAGTAATAACTATGATGTAAACTGCAGCAAATAGGGAAGAGAATGGGTTGATCCTTTTCTTCTTCGTTATGATTTCCATAAAAACATGCTCTCAAAAGCTGTTCACCCTGGAAGGTGAGTAAAAGCATTTGTAAAGATTTCTCATCATATGATGTTCTTCACTGAAAGTGTTTACTGCTGAAGTCATTTTGTTGCAGGATGAAAAGTGCTATTTGCTTAGCATAATTTTTTTCCAGTTGATAGTGGAAACTAGGGATGTAAATCTTTAGAAATTTTATTCTCCTAGGCAAGAATAACTTTACTATTTTTTCTTGGTGTGAAAAGTCACTGAAATTGCATACAGCACGACTCCTGTATCTGCAGACCTAATATACATGGCTTCACTTGTCCACAATTTCACTTATTTACACAGGGCCTCCTGTACAAGCTATGTCTTCTTCCCGGTATCCCCATCATTCATTCCATTGAAAGTAATAAGGTTAGTTATTATCCACAATTTCACATACTCATGCAATGCGTGGGAAAGTATCCCCACGAATATGGGAATTGCACTGTATTTTTCATATATTGTTTTCATTTTTGTACTTAATTCTTTGCAAAAAGAAAATACACTTACATTTTCCCTGTAAAAATAATTTTCCTGCACAGAAAATAGCATATTTCTGTGCAGAAATGTTTTTTTGGGGAAGAGAATGATATTTTCCATGAAAAAGTCCACATATATATTTTTATGCTCAAAATAAATCTTAAACTATGAATTTTCTTGTCCATTTTGAATTCTTCTTGTCAAAATCAATTTACAATTATTTCTTTAATATTATTTCCACCTGTTACCAAAAGTCTGTTTGAAGGAAATAAGGATATTATCTCACACGGAGAAACTGTACCTGTAAAATCAAATAAATGTCACCTCTTCGTAATTCATGGGGACTCAGAATGTTTAAGGCTGCTCCATAGTTTTCAATGTAAGCTTGAGGCATTCAAAGTTTTTGCTATCAGACTGTGCCAGTCTCCTTATCATATAAATGGTGAAAAGCCTCCACAAACTACTACTTCCAGTGAGGCCCCCTTTAGTTAAACAAGCTTGACTCTTCTCAGCCTTTTGAGTAAGATCAAGAGTAGTTCTCAACTGTCTCAGGAATAGGACTCCAAAAGGACAATCAAAATTCATTGCAGCTGGGATTGGCAGTATGAAGCAGTCTTTCACAAGAATGTATTTTTACTAAGATTTCTGTGAACCTAACCATGTAAAATTAACTTCTTTATCTCAATCTTGAGCTATAAGTTACTCTATGAACACCTGCATTTGTTTGCTTTTTGAGGAGGCAGTAAGAATCCAGAGTATGTTTAACCATGTAAAAACAACAACAACCCAATATTTGGCAGCTATGATTAAAATTCAGAGTAACTGGTTAAAGTTGCAGATCATTTGGTCTTCAAGCTCTAAAATATGGGATTGGTGGCATCTTATACAGTCTGCATAAGGCATAAGCTTTCCAACCCTCAAAGAAAGACTATACTTTACAACATGTGACACCTGGCAATTCTACTATCAGGTGTCTCATAGTGCAGTCAAACTATCCTTTATGTTCTCTATAAGTTCTCTTTTCTCTTTTGTTAAATATGAGCATCCCATTCCTCACTTTCCTATTACATGTCTGGAACAATGCCTGGCACCACGATGAACAAGATAGTATCCACTCAACTCTTGGTTACTGAGTTGGTACAAAAGTGGCTCTGAAGCAAACTGTCTTTCTCTGAAACTGTAGGATTGTGTGGAGACTTGCACTTCATTAGGAGACATTTTCCTCAGCAGAGAGGACAGTGGGTAATTAGCATCCGCTGCAGTTTGGTTCAAAGACCTGCCCTCTATATAAACCAGATACCATGGCTGCTTAAGACATATTGTATACGTCAGCACAGTAAAACAGTGTCCCTTGTATGGCACTATTTTTATGTTCACATTTGAATGAATATTTTCAATTCTTGAATGAAAAATCCAAGGATATGGAGAATGGCTTGTATTGGGTGTGAGGAGAAATGGTGATAATGATAATTTCTTGCAAAATTGTAAGATAAAAAACTTTTCTAAACAAGTTTTCACCTTCTCGATGTGATTTTATTGTATGGCTCTGAGTATTTGTAATGTGGAAAACACAAAGTGTTGTACATTGTCTTGTACATTGAAACACTCCTTTCGATGGGAGTCATTTTGGGGATCCCATAATAAATGAAATTCTAACAAAATAATCAGAAGTCACATAATATAAGGTATGGGGGTTTTGTTGTCAGAGATTTTATTTTGTTTGTTTGTTTATTCCTGTTTCATAAGAATTAAGGAGGTCTAATTTGGACTTGAGTAATTATATTAATTTTTCCCGTTTGGTAAGAAATTATTGAATTAGGCTTTTCCAGCTTGATGATAACATATTCCATTTCAGGCATTAACAGTATTCCATTTCAGGCATCACGCTGAACAAACTGCAATCATACTTTGGAATCCAATGGAATTTTATCTCAATACCCATTACCACCTACCTCATTTTTCAGTCAAAAGACCTCACAGATAACTGACACATGGATAAGAAAGAGTTTAATTATGTGCCAATCTTATCTTTGGACATATGCTCACTTTGGACCTACACACATGCCTGATAGCTTCTGGTTTAGACCACACATGGAAACTCTTGAACTGTAAGTTACTCTATGAACATGTGTATTTGCTTGCTTTTTTGGGAGGCAGTAAGAATCCAGAGTAGGTTTAACCATGTAAAAAAACAACAACCCAATATTTTTTTTTCTGGGCATGCCACATCAAGAGTGAATAGGCTCTATGTAACAGAAGAGCTTTATTAATCAATGCAATCAGTTACACTTATTCTGTTCATATGATTGCTGTTCTGAGATAAGTTGGTTTCAGTAGCTATACAATCAGATCACGCTAAACATAGAAGGGAAAGGACTGTGCTTTGTCACCCCTTCCATTATTCTCCTTACCTAGAGAGTGACCTTTTGAAGAGGAGAACCTTCCTTAGCTGAGGATGTTCTCTCCAGCAATTTCAAACTCTGATTTTTGTGAGGAGAGAGTTGGAAACACACAAGAAGGTGAGCAGGACTAATACATGTACATTCCTCCACCCCTATGTGTTTATTTTACTCAGATTTACAATGTCTGAATAGACAAATCTGGAAAAACTCACACTATATTTACAATTCATCAACAAACCTGTATTCTGAGCAAGAGGTGTCTGTTGGCATGTTCCAGTTTCTTTTGTCTGTTCTCTAGTTCTTTAGTACGTTGTTGTTCTCTTTGCAACTTGCGGATATAGTCTACAGAGGCCTTTAAAATAGTTCCCTTATTCCAACGCATATCCCTGCAAAATTAATGCAAGTTATTAAATCTGAAGAGAAGCAGTGAAGAAGAAAAAAATAACTTATCCTACCTGATGTCCAACTGGCAATTCAGTCTACTTTCCAAAATACAATTAAATAAGTCAATACATTTACCACACTGTCAATGCAGAAGGTCTAGCTCATTGCTGAATAGGTTACAATTGAGATTTAGATCCCTAAATTTGTCTATGGCAAATTTAGGAATCTAATAGAATTCTTCTATTAGATAGAGTTATTCTATTCTGTTGCGAAAAAAATGTTCCGAGATTTTTTTTTGTCTAAATATTTAAATAAAAAATGGGACATTGCTGCAAAAACAAACAAACAAAAAAAAACCCATATCCTAAAAACATAGAGCCGTGTCTTGAAAATCTTCATTCATTTAAACAAATTTGCACTGAAAGAAAAGAACAAAAGCTAGGATGTGGGGACTATGGTTGAGATTTTGTCATAGGAATGTAGGAAGCTGCCTTATAAAACAGCAGCTCTTCAGCAGACATCCTGGAACTACCTGGCCTTTTTAAATCTTTTCCTTTTAAAACGTGGTATTCAGAGAATTCATTTAGAAGTTTATTCATGCCCTCCCAAAACTGGGCACACACACAACAAATGTATGTCTGACTGGTCTCTCATATGATTGTATTATCAACTTCCTTTGGCGTTTCACGAGGCTTTAATTGGGTGGTACTGGGCTTTCTTTAAGGCAAAACTTCCGACCATCCAGATATTAGGGATTTCAATTCCCAGAAGTGCCAGCCAACATAACCAATTGCCAAGAATTTGGGGAAATGGTGCAATAGAGCAGGGGGGCCAAAAGTTCAGAACCATTGCTTTAATGTAAATTGAAGAGCACATTACAAATTCCCTATGGTTTAGCCTAGAGCACATGCATCAAACTCAAGGCCTGCAGGCCAAATCTGGCCCACCATGTCCTTTTATGTGGACATCTGGATACTAGACAAGACTTTCTATATTCCTCATCATTAGACATAATAACTAGAGCTGATGGGAGTTGTGATACAGTAATACCTGGAAGGATGAAGTTTGTTTTGTTTAGTCAGGATAGTAGATTCAAGGCTTGTGGATAGGATGTCTGACATTAAAATCTCTTTTAACCTTTCCCCAACCTCAGAGCCACAAATACTCTTGGGCTACCATTCCCATTATCCCCAGTCCATATGGCAGATCATCAAAAGTGATGGGAGTTTTCATTCAGTAACATCTTGGGACCCAATGGGTAAACCACCACTATGTAAAAATTATAGCTGGCCCTCTGTATCCATGGATTACCCATCCAGGGATTCAATGGCCCTTTAAAGACAACCATAAGTCTCATGGTCCTTGATGAAAATGAGCTTGACACTCCTGACCTAGAGAATAATGATACTGCAATAATTTTACAAAACAGCTCTTGAAATAATATTTTGTTTTGTGTTTTTCTTGATGTAGTCATTGTATACAAGTCAATGACAGGATACAAGCCCATCATTCAATAAAAACCATGTTATACCAGTGAATGAATGGAGTGGGGTCAGTAAAATACAGTTTTGTCCCCACATGGCCTAATTGACACTATGGTCATAGAGCGATTGGAGGAAACTCAACACGAGGTTGTCCTTTTTGGCAACATTTCTTTGTCTTCTGTGATGAATTTCATCCTATGCTAACTGGAAATTTTGCAATCCTTTCTTCCAGATAATTCATTGGTCCTACAGTTGCTTTTGCTGGCAGCCATGAAAAGCACAGATTAACTCAATTACAGACCATATTGAAACCAAATATTTTTCCCAGTGGAAAATCTCTAACTATGATAGTAACTAATGTAGTAACTCATGTAGAGTACTCCAAACTTTAAGATGCCCTATGCAAATTAGGTGTCCTCCAGAAGACCACAGGGCTAATAGTGATGGCAGCTGAGGGTTGTATCCAAAGGATATGGCCCAAATCAGTGAAGATTGTCTAAAGACACTCCAACTAAAAGAAAAACCACCCACCTATAATGGACTTGTTCTGTGGTACGATAGTACTTACGGGTCGTTTGACTTGGGTATCAAAGTGCCAAGTTCTTTTATGCGATCATTAATATTGAATCGTCTTCTTCGTTCAACTGGTTAGGAAATCAAGAAAAATTAGTAATCAATGGCAAACTGGAAAGAATCGACATCACAAATGCTTTGGAAAATGTGAATGTTGCTATGACTGCTTTGCATAACTGAGGATCATTTTGGAGGATTAATACAAAGCTGGGGATCAAAAGTGGGCAAGAACCACTGTTCTGCTTCCAAACACAAAATGCAGCAGCACTGCAGAACACAGAACAAGAAGTCCAGGGGAGTGGGAGAGTGCTCATTTTTTTCTCTTTAAATTGTCACACTTCCTTAGAACACAGAAAGCTCTACCAAACATATCAAGCCACATCTATCTCATCAAGCATATCATCCATCTCCCCCTAGGTCATTAGTGCGGAGTTCTGCCGATTAATCGGATTGTTTTGTATTACTAAAAGAGAACTTTTAGAACTTTTACATGAATCAATTTATACTTGTTATTCACAAGTGATTTACTACCTATGACCAGTTATGGACAAGACTGATCTTGTTTTGCTTTGGATAGATACCCTATTTTTGCCAAACTACAAACTTACCTTCTGGTAAGACTGATTACTTGGTGTACCATGAATTTAAAACATAGTCTAATGGTTGAGAAATATATCTGTCATCCTCATAATCATCAGCAAAATTTCCTACTCTACTCCTACTCCTACTCTAATGAGTTTAGACTTCAGATAAATCTTTAAGATCAATCGAAATATTTAAGACCTAAGCATGTATGGGAAACTCCCTAGTATCAGGGAGATATTGGCAATCTGGTAGACTATACTTGACCAACCATTTTTACTTTCTCATCCCCCAAATTACAATGAATTGGATACAGACAAGAGGCGTGTATAGCTGAACTAGTGATTTTTCCACTCTCTCCCTCTAATGACAGTCCCTGCAACTCTCTGAGAACGCAACAAAAAGTTTTGGAGGATTCTGCTGAGTGAAGTACAGTAAGTTGTGAGACTGGAGATATCTGACTACATTATGAAGGAAGCCATATGTATAAGAAAGACCTGGATCCAAGCATTGCAATCGCAATCATAGACACACTACATTAGTGGAAGCTAATTATACAGTAATGCAATAATTAGTAGTTGAGGCTGATTATACAATAGTGCAATAATTACTTGTGATGTTGCCCCACTCTATCCCACTAAGGAATGTGTGATAAAAGAAAATTCAGGAAAAGTGTGTGGTAAATGTGAAACCTCCAGCTGCTGACAACTCACAATTTTGTGACACACGCATAAAATATATCAGAAGCGAGAAACTTACTTAGATTGTGATTGTCTTTCTTTTGCCTCTCTTTGGCCAATGCTCTTGCCTCTGACTCTGTGGGAAATACACATGCTATGCATGTTAACGAAGTAAGAATTAGAGAAATATGGACAAAGCAACATAAACAAAGTAAACATTTGCTGATCTTTTGAACATGCCCTCTGATATGCAATTTTGATTATAATTTGTATACTATTAGGCAAAATATTAATCTTTAACATCATGGCACAATTTTAATCTTCTTGTGCGAAGCCATGGCATTATGTCACACAATACCTTTCTTGTACTCCTTCCTTATCTCTCTTATCTACCTACAGCTTAGATAGTTAAAAGACAGAGAAGTAACTTTTAGGTGAAGTTGTTCTTTGCTGGCCAGAACTAGAGAACCATAATTAGAACAAGACACATCCAACTGACATGTTGACCATCCACCAAAGTTTCCACTGAAGCCTGGCCATGTTATAATGTTTTATCCTTTTGTAGATTATAATGCATAGGTAAATTCTCCAAGAAGGCAGCCTACTAGAGCAACACCTATACTGGTCATGTCCTCCCATTGTTAGTCAATTTCTATCAGGTGTAACCCGACCCCTTTCCATAGTTTCCCATATGTCCCCAATATATATTTGTGGGTCTGATGGATTTAGAGTGTTAGAAGAACAGTAGAGATCTGAGACAGCAGACAGGATGGCAGAAACTGGGTAGAGACAGAGAAGGTCCATTCTGCCAATAAATGTCTGTTCAAGTGATCTTGAAATTCATTTATAACAATACCAAATCTTATATCTGAGAAGGTTCCTTTATCTGCAGTGGCATTCTGGAGAGATATAATAACAACATCCCTTTCTTCTAACCATCTCAACTAAACTAAATGTGTGCTATATGTGTGTGGTATTTGACCAACTTAAAGAGGTCAAGTATAAATCCATCTTTTTATAAAAGTCATTCTTTTGGGTAATACAGGGCCCTTTATTATGAAGGCAGAATAATGAACAAATGCAGCATCTTTCTGACTGATGAGCCACAAGACACAATGGTGTATTATCTTTGCCTGCCCTTTTTCTGTTAAAAAATTAAAAGACAAATATTATACTTTAGTGGAGCTCTACCCTGCACTCATGACTTGCCCCGTCCATTCAGAGACGCAATTCCAGCATTATGCCATGTTCAATGTGACTAGGACAATGAACTTTTTCAGAGAACTTGAACCTGACATTTCACGTTTCAGCAGTTATAGTTTATTTTCAGAGTACACTTATGTGAACTGCTTAGGGGTATGGCCCATCACTGAAAAACACCCAACAAACCAACCAACCAAACGAAAGGCTGACTTGATCAATCAAAATTAGAATTTAGCTCTGTGTTCTTTCCAAACATTTCTAATGTATTTTGTCTTTATAAGAGTTATTTTCTCTGCTCTAAACTATCCAACTTGGTTTTTGCCTACATCAGCCTCGCTCTCTTTGATGCCTATCAGGTATTTTGGAGTAAAACTCCCAACTGGACAGCATAAGCAATGAGCAGGCATTATGGGAGGTGTAATCCCAACATCTACTAGACATCACCCTTCGGGGTGAGAAAAGCAGGGTATAAATATAGTAAATAAATAAATAAAATGGGGGGGGCTGCTTTATACTGACAGGATGTGACTCCTCTGGTTTTCAGATTTCCACTCATTCACGGAAATGTCAAATGAATCCTAGAGCTTATGTATGCAAAGCATATACTGTATTCTTCCCATCAGTTATGGCTCTTCTGTAGATGAACTCATTTATAAAATAATTATGAAAAGAAAAAAAGGCCAACATTTGCAGCAAAAAAAATAAAAGATTTTTTTTGTAATTTCTTACCCCCCCCCCCCAATTGCCACTATAAATGAATAACTATATTGCTAGTTAACCTTTTTTGTCAATTTTTTGTAATTTTGTAGTTTCTGTTTATATTTAGGTATATAATTGTGGTGACATCTTTCCTGGGCTATAAGATTTTCTGTTTTAGGATATGCATACATAGCAGCAAACAAAGCTACTGTCTTTAATGGGCTTGCTTACAACAATATTCTGTTGTAAAGAAACACACACACCCTCAACTATTTTAAGACTGTATTAGAGCTATCAAGGTTTCATGTCTTAGTAGTATTTTTTAAAACAAAATACATTTTAAAAGATTCTCATTTACCTGTAAGTTCCCTTTTTACATGAGGAAGGTTAGCAGGACACGAGTTGCTGATATTGAGGCCTGGGGGAGGCATGCCTTGGTTGCTATATAGATCTACAAGATTGCCAGATACAGGTAACTGCAAAAGGACAACAAGATACAGGATTGAGATAGAAAGCCAAAGCAATAAAGTTGTAAGATATTTTATCACACACAGTATTTTCACATTTTTCAATAAATGCAGCACTACAATGGTACACTAATATGGAGAAAGTTTGAGCATTATTCTAGAGTCCAAAGTTTGAATCTCTGCTCAAACACAGATACGGACCGCTTGACTTGAGCAAATCACACTCAGCCTCAGAAGAAGGCAACAGGAACCCCCACTATGAATGAACCCTATTTAGAAAACCCAATGATAAATTTGCCTTAGTGGCACCATAATTCAGAAACGACTTACAGGCACATAACAATAAAGGATGCTCAGAAATAGCAAATGGTTCCAAATGCAAGCAAAAGGACCTTTAGATTTCTGGCCTCAAGTAAAAGTGACAGGTCTGTCTCCCTGTCTCCCTGTCTCCCTGTCTCCCTGTCTCCCTGTCTATCTATCTATCTATCTATCTATCTATCTATCTATCTATCTATCTATCTATCTATCTATCTATCTATCTATCAGCCTCCAATAGAAGGTGAGTGGGCACAAGGCTCACTTCCTACTCACTTGGTTTTCTCTTGTGTGCAATGCCATCTTCCTCACTGCATTAATAAATGGATTCTCAGCTTTGGAAGTCTGTTTGTCATAAGTCCTAATATAATTATTACAATAACTTACCGTTCTAAAATGATGAAATGCCCCTCCTGAGCTGTAGCCATTGACAGTAAGAGCTTTCAGTCAAAATATGCCATCATTCATAGGGAACACATCCTATTACCTTTGACCTTGCCATATGCTAAGAATGCCCTTCCCAAAAACTTATCTGAAACTTAATTTGGGTCTTGGATAGTGGGGAAAGAACAGTCTATGGGCGGCATGTTTCTTCCTCTGAAATATTACCTACAGCACCTGGCAGTCTCTCATCCGTGTACTAACTGAGGGCCCTTCCACAGAGACCTGTATTCGAGAATATCAAGGCAAAACAATCCCACAATATCTGCTTTGAACTGGGTTATTTGAGTCCACACTCAGGTAATGTGGGATTTTTTGCCTTGCTATTCTGGGATATAGGGCTCTGTGGAAGGGAACCTGCTGAGTCTTCCAGATTAGATAGAATCTGGGGATCCTGGGGTATTTAGGCTATTTAAAACCTCCAGCACCTGGTAATACCAGGATGGTCTTCTATCTAAGGACTACAAATCCCATCGCTGCTTAGATTTCAAAATCGAGTGAGATTGGGCATATTTGGCTCCATACTCATTAATAAATGTGGTTAGAACTGTTCTATAAAATTTCAACAATGTTAATGTGTTCACATTTAGAAAATATAATAAGCAACCTGAGAAATAAGGAAGAGGAAAAGAAAAGTAGGGAGAGGAGGAAATAATAGGTAATGGGCCTGTTGTTTTTTAAAAAAATAGATTACAAATATTCTACACTTTGCAATGAAAACCCAAATGCTCAGTTGTTAAATGCAAACTCAACCAATGAACCCAACAAAAATAGAGACTATGAAATGCTGACAACAAGAACTAAATAGTGCCGATGATATGTATGCAGGGCAGATTAAACACCTCTCACATGTGACCTAACCTAAATCAATGTGGAAATTTATAGCATCAAGTTTATTGCTCCTTGTAGAAATGACAATTTAATGTTCTTCATAGATACTTGAATAGAAGCCGAGCACTGTTTTCAACAAGGCAAGCAGGGTCTAATCCTCTAAAGTACAACAGCGTCTTTGTCCCCTTTGGAGAACTATTTATAGGTTGCATGCAGCCTGCTTCCTCTGTTGGGATTTTCCCTTTAATCCATTTAGCAATTAGTACATTTTACCACTCCAAAAGTTAAACATGAAAATGCACACAACAAGGCCATTTTTCATCCCTACACCTTGTTTTGGCAAAATGCTATTTGTATTCAGCCATGTTGCAAGTCTCATAAACTGTTGCTCTCATTGCCTGCCCAGTCTATGACTCAAATGGCTCAAAGGGGTTGAAACATACAGCTAAAAAGTTGACATAGTACAAAAGTTTAAAATATAATTAACTATCAATAAAAACAACAACTGAAATGTTTTATTGGGTTGTTGTAGGTTTTTTCGGGTCCATGTTCTAGAGGCATTCTCTCCTGACGTTTTTGGAGCTGAACCACTGTATTCAACAATATTTCAATAAGGAAGTTTGATGCAACAGCAACCTGCTCTTGACCCCACCGCCATCGCAAACGCGATTGGTGGAGACAAGAGACAGGGCCTTCTCAACAGTGGCTCCCCATCTCTGGAATTTCCTCCCCAAAGACATCAGACCGGCCACCTTCCTCCTGTCCTTTAGAAGGAAACTCAAGACTTGGCTGTGGGACCTTGCATTTGACCACTGTACAGCAGCTTGTATGAAGAAGTCATAAGCAATTTTGAAGTGACAATGAATTGACCCGGACCTGGATTTTAATTGGCATGTTTTAACAGCTGTTTATTTAATGTTTTGTTTAAGGAATTTCTTGGTTGTTCTTATCATTATGATGGCACCAAATGGTGTTTGCTGTGAGGCTGCCCTGAGTCTCCCCCCCCCCCCCGGGGTGAGAAGAGCGGGGTACAAGTATATGAAATAAATAGCTCTTACGATGTTAACCCTGATGTTGCTGGGGCATGCATCCTAGTAGGCATCCTAGGCATCTTTAATGTTTAGTACCATCAAAACCCAGAGGCAGTACTAATACACATGACAAATGACAAGATGAAAGGAATATGTAGATTTCAGGAAGGGAGTGCTCAACCTCTTAGCATTAAGAACCTTTGGCAAAGAGATAACCCAAGTTCTACTAAGTAGAAAAATAAAACTGGGAAAATGAGCAATAAAGCCAAAGTCAGGTAAAGCTGGGTGCAATTATTAATAACTGTCCAGAATAATTTTCACTCAAGACGGGACTATGTCCTGGTGTAGTCATTTGGGCATAGCACTATGTCTCTAGAGACCTGGAATTGAAATGAACAGAGAGTGGAAGCTGATTTACATAGAAGTCTTTGAATTTAGAAATACTTTTCTAAAAGTAAATATAAGAACATCTTTTCTTAATTGCTTTGTTTCTACATTCTTAACAATTCTACCATTCATTTTTCTCCTCTAGTTTTCAATTTTTCCAATGTTTTTAAAAAACACTACAGTTTTTCTGCATTTTCCTCTTTCTCCCTCTGGGCCTTCAGATTGGTGTACATACCAGAATGAATACACACACGCACAAACATCATATATCTAATGTCATCTACAACATTTGCAAGCCAAACAGCAATAAATGAAAAGATTATAAACCTTGAGTACCGTGTTTGCCATTTGTAGTGCAGGATCCATTAAACCAAAGATTTCTTCATTGTAACTTGATTCCAAACTTATTATGTCATCAATTACATCATCCATCTGTAATAGGAAGGTAAAACATGCAAAAAAATGTAAACTGAATTGAAATGGAAGCTGCATAAATAAAGAGAGGAAACACTTTCAATAGCATAAATCAGGATGGGCTACTGCATTCCGTGATCCCTCCCAGAAGCTGCACTGGGATACCTAACATGTCATCATCGCTACTGACTTTGTTTCTGAACAATTGGTTCTGTGGCCGATTTCTAGAGAGGATTACTTAGCTAGGTATATAAAAGTCTTGGGTAAAACAAATCATTGTGCTTTGTGGTGATCTAGAGCTGGGTGGGAGAGATGCCTCAAATAAAAAAAAAAAGATGAGGTCCATGGGGCTTTTCTTGGGGGAGGTCTTCAAAGGACTCACAGTTTGTTTTTTCCCCATCCTTGGTAAAAATTAATACAGGTCATACCCAGCAGCAATTTTTCCAACTACTTTACTAATTCTAGATGGAGCTACGGAGCTATTTCGAGCATTATGTAGTTGGAAGAAGAAGGAAAGGGGATCTGCACATTTTTCCAGAAAACGTGTTAATAATTTTTTACATTGAGCAAAAAGCCTTTGTAGGAGCATTACAGATATTCACTACAGCCAGAGATCTCATGATAACTCCCAGAATCTATGAGTCAGCAAGGCTGGGAGTCTCAACATTCTCATCCCCCAAAACAACCTTTCAAATTCTAATGTCAGCCATAACAGTATAAAAGTAGCGAGAAAAAGGTTCATTAATTCAATTTTGAAAACTATAAGCTGAGTGGACATTTACATTAAATAATAATAATAATAATAATAATAATAATAATAATAATAATAATAAATCTTTATTTATATTCTGCCCTATCTTCCCAAGTGGACTCAAGGTGGTTTACAACAAATATTGGCAAACATTCAATTTCACAATGAAACTGAACAAGGACAAAATAACCACCCCAGTTGAATCCCAAAAACAAACAAAGATAAAATAATGACACATTAGCAAAACTTAAAAAATAACATAGCAAATTTACAAATTCACTACTAATATTGAAAAACAAAACAAAAAAAAAACCAAAACAAAATAAGAATCTAAACAAACAAGATAAAATTTAAAATTATATATTTTTAAAATCTTTGCCGCCAGCAGCAACAGTAACCAGCCATTAGGAATGCAATTCATCATTACATTTATTCTTGAAGGAAGTGATAGGTAATTTTTGTAATTTCTGCTGCTGCAAGAAACTCTTTTGTATTAGTTTTATATATACAGGTAGTCTCTGAGTTACAAACATCTGACTTACAAATGACTCATAGTTAAGAATAGGTGTGAAACAACCAGAAGTGAGAGAAATCTATGGCTGGGAAAGGAAATTCATTCCTGGAAGTTATTAGCACAGGAAAAATGTGTCTCAACTGAAGCTTTATCACCAATTCTTGTTTCGACAACAAGCCATTTTTTCAAAATCCAATTCTCACAGGGATAGAAAGTTAGGTGAAATCTTCTGAATAGGGGCACTGAAACAAACACTACAAGGCTTTCAACCCTTTCCAATGATTTCCAAAGCTAAAAAAGGATATATTTTGGGCTGGAGTTACACTGAAAAAAATGAACCTGTTTTGACTTACAAACAAATTCAACTTAAGAACAAACCTACAGAACTTATCTTGTTCATAACTTGGGGGCTGTCAATACACATACCTATACCAATTGACATAAAAATTCAACTTAAGAACAAACTTATAGAATGTATATTGTTTGTAACTTGGGGACTATCTGTATTAGTTTTGAATTAAATGGCCCTCTATATTCATGGATTTAATGAGGAAGGATATGAAAATAATTTTCAAAAATTCTTTAAAAAGCAAAGAATTTTGTCATTTTAAAAAAGGGACACTATTTTACTGCATCATTGTATATATGAGACTTGAACATGGATTTGGGTATCTATGAGGGGATCCTGAAATCAAACTCCTGATGAGACTAGAGGCCCAGTGTATTTTCTTTCTATTTAACGGAAGCCACCTTGGATCCTATTCTGGGACAAATACGACCTATCAATCAATCAATTAATAAAACTGTTAGCACAATGGACAAAAATTCCCAATAGATAAATGGTTATTTCTTTATACAGTAAGCCCTGCTAGATAGTACTGCCTTACATTGGCAGTTTGTGGGTAAAAAAAACCAAACCCAAAAGTTGAGAAAGGAGCAGGAAATAAAGTTTCCTTTAGGAATCTGATTGTACCATTTACATGGTATTAGGAAAGCTATTTTCATGATGGTATTGCCATTATAAAAAAATCTTGGGAAGCCATCTGGTGAGGACTCACCTGGGAGAGGTGCATCCCTAACTCTGTAACATTGTTCAGTCCCACATAGAGAATAGGACTGTTAACAGTAGATATCTGCAGAGAATATGTTTAGGGGCTCTTTTCTTCCACATTATGCAGAATATTTTCTCTGACAGAGATCACTTTTTGCCTTATCTACTACCCATAAAACCCATTTTTAAAATAGTTATATCTATCAGGTTTTTGTAATAAATTATGTCCTGAGGAAGCTGGCAATTATAGCCAGTTTCAGCTCAAAACAATGCTATGTGTGTGGCAGACAGACACACATGAATATGATATAAAATAATGTAATAATATATTTGTTGTTGTGACACTTTAGGTCATTTTGACTCTTGGTGACCCTAAGGGAATCCAATCACCTTTTTGGGGCTGAAAATCTAACCACCTCATCACAAAGGGTTAACATTGGCACCATGCACTGATTTTAGCCTAGGTCACCCACGGAGCCAGCCAGCTTCCATCACATGATGCTGTGTCGGCTCTGTGGATGTTGCTATACAGTCTATGAGGGGAAGCCACGTGCACCACACACACTCATACTTCTCCCCACGTGATCATCCTCACTTGGATCCGGGTGTTGCGGGGCACTGGGCACTGGATTCCCCACACCTCTATATGAATCATAGCACTGCCGGCCACCTGATGAGGTTGAGAACTTCACCTGAGGTAACCCAGTGGCTTCCATGGCAGAGCAGGGAATTGAACTGTGGTCTCCAGAGTCATAGTCAAAGACTCTTTAATATATAATATATTTATGATATGATGATGAATATAATATAATACATACAAGTGAACATAATATAACTAAATATAGTTATATAGAATACCTTTATGTAGGAATAGCAACATATATGGCATTTTCAGTGAATCAACGACTTTTCCATTACATATAATTCTACCTAAAAATACCAATTATTCTTTCAGATGATTATAGTTTACACTTTGTTATTGTCAAACCTCACCAACATTCACGTGGATTGCAATTCATGTGGCACTGAATACAGAAAAGGGGAAACCACATTTTAAAGACTATGGCTTAACTGCCATAAATATTCTGCACTAAAGTAGACCCACTGGATTTAACTAAGAGTTGATTTGCCATTAGGTGATTGATTTAATTGCTACATGGGAATGGCAAATGGACTGAAGATTGTGTCTATCCCAGAAATGCAATTGCAATGTAGTATAAATCTGACAGGTAGCTCCAGTCAGTTCTCCAGTAAGAATATCACAGATGAGACAGATATTTCCGAATGTTAAGTTCAAATAATCACATTTTACATTTTCAAATGTACATATTAAAAATCTTGTGTGTGAAACGGCCTCAGGAGTATTCTATGGCTGTCTGTGAATGCATGAAGATTAAACAGATTCTCCTAACAAAACTGAATTCAAAAGCAGAAGTCCCAATCTTTCTTCTATTCTAATGTCATCCGTCTTTACCTGCATGCATGATGCTCTAGAATGCGTATTCAGAGTTTGACATTCACTTTCTGCACGGTTGTTTTGCTCTTCAAATTTATAAAAGCCCTGTAAATACAAAAAAGAGAAAATAGGGGGGAAAGGAAGCAAAGCATGGAGTACTATTTCATGGTTTTGGGTCTTTCCACAAATTTATATCTATATCTGTATTAAGTGGCACCTCAAGGGCATTCACTCACACATACACACACTACTTCTGGACAAAAGCATTCATCTTAAAAGAGATTTGAAATGGTCCTCCTAGTCCTCGATCGTTCCCTCTACAACAGTGCAGAGAATCTAAAACCAATAGTAATGCTCATCAATTTAGGTTTCATGCAACCATTAAGACTATTCGTCACTGAGAGACTTATCCATGTGTGTATCTAATTCCCTTCGAAAGCCATCTGTGCAAATGGTTATTACCCCATCTGGGAGAAGATGAATTTTGCAAATCAATTACCATGGTGTCACAAAGATTCCTCTCTCTATGGACACTCAGTTCTCATACTGGAGATATTATCAGATCTAATGCTTTGATCCCAGTTGTATGATCCATTGCACAAGTGTTTTTACTGCTCATTAATGCATTATTCTGGCAGGACTTTATTTGCAGTGAGTGTTCTTCTACTGCTTGTGGAATGCTAAGAAAAGCTCTTTCTTCACTTTCCACTTAAATTACAATAGATACACCTTCTCTCAAACAGCATTTCTTTTATCTGCCTCAAAAGTAGTAACAGAAACAAATTTCAACCAATAGACATTATCTAGCCAAAGAAAACTTTTAATGTAACTGAATGGCCAGAAATTTTAGCATTAATTTAATGTTTCAATTAATTTATTATGTAGTTAAATAAGGACCAGTTTATCCGAAGCATAGTTCTCCTGGAGCGCAGAAAAACCGATAGTCCCTCAAGTTTAGGGAGTTACAACGTTTAGATCTCAAGATTCAAACCACATACTCAATAATGGGATGAGTTGCATTAAGGGCTTAATAATTGATCTCCCCCTCATTTCTAAGCATGATAAATGGCTCATATTATTTAAACCAGTAACTCCTTTATATTACTACAAATTGGAGGAATATGTTGTAGAAACACTGAATTTCATGCGAAGTCGAAACTAAAAAATATGTGGATTAAGGTGTTGGGGAGTAAAATCACAGATGATATTTCCAGATTTATTCTGATAAGGCTTTTCAAGCAAGTTTGTAACTTAAGCAGCAACTTCACATAATAGTCAGATTTTAAGTTTTTAAACAATTAACACACCAAATTTTCTAATACCTTTTCTATCTCTGCCAACATCTATTCTAAATCTACTACTAATCAGTGTTAAGTTATAATGTTAAGGCTGAGCAAACAAATATTCCTCTTAGTCTTGTCCTACACTGTGTATACACAGTCCTATTATTCTCTACTATGTCCTCAATTCACCCTCCCATATAGTCATTTTCCCCTAAACTAGAAACATGCTTTAGCCTTTAAGCATTGGATAGTTTCTCCAGCCCTTTTGTTGGCCTTTTCTGCACCCTTTTTTTGGTCTACCTTTCTTATTTGAGATGTGTGGATCAGGACTTATTTCATAATTGTGACACCATGGTTTTGTATAATAAGAAATTGTTATATTGACTATTCTTCTTTACAACTATGATTTTTTCCCGTTTTACAAGCTACATAATAGATTTGACAGTTAAGAATAAATCATATAACGGAGTGTATTGTTTGAAATATGAAAGTGTGAACTCCTACATAGTTAACTTGAACATGGTAAATGCCCTGCTAAGGATGATTCAGATAAAGATGCGAAACGAACTCCAAGTCAGCTATTATAAGGTATTATAAGGTATGTGTGTATGTAAACTCTAAGGCACTGTTACATATAGAATAACTGTACATTTCAGAGCAATGCATCTCAAAAAGGATCACACAGAACAAAAAAAGCCTACTAATATGATTAAGAGTATTGGAACATTATTCCTAGGAAGAAGGGTTTACTTAGTGAAGGTATTACAGGCATTTGAAATATTTTGACTGGCATAGAGAAGCAGAACAGAAAAAATGCTACCATAACATTACATATATAGTTCAGTGAATATGTATCATTACATTCAGAAGAAATAGGGAAAATGAAGTTTATGTATTGGTTTATTTTTTAATGAGTGCTCTTCATTATAATACGATTCCATGGTGATTTGAAAAATCAAAGATATAGCCACCATATAAATAGCTTTTATTGTATTACTATAATCATATTTATACACTATCTACACTAGTGAAGGGGACTTTGTAAAAAGACTGCATTATGATTTGATTGCAAAACTACAAGCAGTTCTTTGTGCCACAAAACTATCTTCCACTATGGTGGTGATCTTCCCTGCTCTAGACACTGCTTAACAAAGAGGGCTGATAACATCATGGATCAAAGATAATCTTGGAATAAAGCTATAAATTGAGGCAGCAGTGTGAAACCTCTGTTATCCCTGTTTGCCAGCCCCTATAAGACCACGGACAGAGGAAGGCTACTACATATCTGTAGAAAACAGGAAACGGCTTTAAAGTGCCATAATCTAGCAGGTTATAGTGGCTTTTTCTGCTCCATGGCACACCAACAGCAAAATCTAAGTGTGTGGTGGAAACATTTGCCACCTAAATCCACACTAACCCATGCTAACATTTTCCCAGAAAGTTTGGGATGGAAACAAATATGCCTTTGTATCTAAAAGGTCAATTGCATCTATCCTGCTGCGCATACTAACAGAAAAACAGAAAATGTTTTAACTATACTGAATGAAAGGAAATGGGTTGATTTTTGTTGTGTTAAGCCATGCACACATTTCGTATCGAAATATCCAAACATATGGCCATTGTTGCCCTTCTTTTTTAAAAACAAGTAGTATATAACTAGTCTGTTACAGGATAAGCACAAACTTGTGCATTAGTTTTCTGCGGTTATGGGGGAGACCATTCACCTTTTAAAAACCAATAGCACAAAATGCCAAATTTGGTCTTACCTCTTTTTCACAGTTGGAGTTGAGCGTAAGCATGGCCATGGGGCTGTTGGGTGCGCTGCTTCCTGTGCCTGGAGGCATAACATGTTCACCTGGCTGGTTTGGGCATGGTAAACTTAGCGCCTGGTTGGTGTGCTTGTTACCTAACGTTGTGGAGAGGTATTGTTTGACTTGTTGCCGTTGAGCTTGTTGGATGTGATACTTGGTAGGGTTTTCCAGGTGAGTTTGCACCTGCGAACACATAAAGAAAAGTAGCCGTATCTAGTCAGCATGTGTGAATTCAGCATTTCTGCAGACTCTGGTTACAGGAAAGTTTTAAAGATTTATCTAATACTGGTTTTAATAGAAAAGAAAATGCATGTGTAAACAATTCATTCAGACGCAGTGATGTTAAAACATTGTAAATGTAAATAGAAATTAACATATTTCTCTTTTTTTCCCCAAAAAACCATTCCAGGTTAGCCCAAACAGCCCAAATATTCAAAATGAATAATTTTGAAATAACAGGAATGTATCACAACTAAGTAACAGGGAAATAATTTCAAAAATATTTCCATGATAGTCTGGATCACTACGCAAAGGGATCTTGTAGCACCCTTGAAAGAAAGAAAGAAAGAAAGAAAGAAAGAAAGAAAGAAAGAAAGAAAGAAAGAAAGAAAACAGTAGCATAGCCTTTTGTAGACTTAAGTCTCCAGGCTTTTGACAAAAGAGGCATATGTCTATGCAACCAAATCCTTTCTCTTAAAGGTGTTACAAAATCTGTTTTCAGGGTAATAAATGTTAAAGATTAATTACATAGACTAGATATTACACATTTCCCCCATTAAAAAAACCCTAGAAGTGACATAAACTTGACAAAGTGTGCAAGAAATAACAGTATGCTTAAGAAAGGCACATAAAATTGTGTTGTTTCCTTTGCAGCTGTAAAGGGTTTTTCTCAGAGATTTCCCCCCACTGTGGCATAAAATTAAAAACACAATGGTACAAAATTAAGCAAAAATGTATGAGAAAAATAAAAAACTTAAAAAATTAAAAATGATGTTGATGAAGAATACAAGTGGCTAAGTCTTTACCTTTCTATATGTTGAACATTAAAAAAATAAAAGGGGGGGGTAGAGACAAAACTCCACCATATGCAGTGTTTAAGTGTATATACTCATGATTCACAACTACATATTTCAACACTCTGAGTGTATTTTATTCAATTCTATTCCCATTCAACTATATAATAAAGTGAAACAGTATAAGAAAAAGAATCGGTTCATTCTATGCATAACTAAATTCTATTTAATTCTAAATCCTATCCTCTACCTATGTCTACAATAACTAAGAAGGAAAAATAATTTCTTGTACACGACCTTTACTATTCTGCAGTAAATTTTGCAGTAATGCATGTGAATATGTGCCCCTAGCTACATTGGGCATTGGTATTCACCATGGAAGCAGTATTATCATCAAATGCATTTTTTTAAAAAAAGGTAACTCACCTGGTAGTGATTATACTCAAGCATTTCCAGCATGACATTTATATATTCTTAGCAAGACCAGACAACCAGTTTGGCAGACTTCCTTTTATTTTTCTGCTACTCCGGTTTAAGCACCATGAACAAGTTTCCCTCAAAATGGCACAAGCAACTTGGCTATAACAGCTCAGGCTTATAATAACCTAAACTAATTAGTTATGCATGTAGAGAAACAAACTGTTCACACAGAGGGTTTTCTTTCTTTTTTTTTCTTTTTCCCCCTTTTTTGGATGCAATGTAAGTTTAGCCTTAAAATTTTGGTACTAAGAGGCTTTTTTTCCATGGCTTTGACGTCGTGCTTTTTCATAAACATAAAGGAGCCCTTTATAGTGATGGGTTATCAAAGTCAGATTGATAGTTTGCTTAAGGCCAAGTCACTATTCAGCTTTCGTTCCAGTCATACTAGCAGACAATGGAATTTTTCTTTAGCAGTAGCCTTACTAGTTTTATGTCCGCTGCTAAGACGGCATTGCAGAAAAATTGCTAGGCAATTTCTTTTCCATGCACGCTACCGTTAGGCAATGCTGCATCCTCCTGTGAGGATGGTATTGGTAGAGCCTCCATATTGAATTCAAAACATGACTACATTCCTCTGAAGATAAAATTCTAAAGAAATATATTGATAAAGGAAAGTGAATTTCTGGAATACAACACCCACAATCCCGGCAACTAATCATGGCAGAGTACATCAAGGAAGGATATAAATCGAGAAAGGTTGCATTACTGGAACAGTTTTTGTCGACCTTACGGTAGCCTACGACACGGTGCAACATAGGAAACTTAGGAAACTGCTGCAGAAAGTCTACCATATTACCCAGGACTATGATTTTACAAAAACTGTCCAGACTCTCCTAGAAAACCATAGCTTCTATGTGGAGTTTCAAGGCAGGAAAATTAGATGGAGGAGGCAAAATAATGATTTACACCAAGGCACCATTCTTTCACCATTCTTTCCTAATAATCAACAACAGCCACCACTCACAAAGAGCTTTATATATGCTGATGCCCTTGGCCTAACAACACAAGCAAAAGACTTTGAAACAGTCGAAATCCAACTTACTAATGCCCTGTAAGATCTCTCCAGCTGAAGTCTAACCCTGACAAAACACAAGTGTCTGTTTTCTACCTACGGAACTGTGAAGCTAACAGGAAATTGAAAGTTACTTGGGAAGGCCAAGAGCTTGAACACTGTTCCCACCCTAAATATCTCGGTGTCACCTTAGATCGAACACTAACATCTAGGAATAACTGTGTGAAAGGGGAATAACTGTGTGAAAGAACTTAAGTTTTATTTAAAGAGCCCCCAGGTTAATTCTCTCATACATCTAATAGCTGAAATTCTGGAGAATTGCTGAAAGTTGCTGCAGACTTGGGATGGTGAACACATGGATCTCTAGATCTTGTTGAAATACAACCCACTAGATCTATAAGCCATGGATTATGCTGAGTGGGAGGATGGGGCATTTGGAGGGGCACATAGTATCTCACTCTGTTGTATTATTTATTATAAGATTCTCAGGTTTCTTGACATACCACACAGAAATAATAAAAATAGCTGCAACCATCAGGGCAGCTTACAAAGGCACAATTCGATGCCGGCATCAACATAACAGTAGAATAAAAACAATATAGCAGCAATTAAACAATTAACAATCAGTTAATTGGAAAACAACATCCCACAGACCAGAAACATTTAAAGGTAAATAGTCCCCTGACATTAAGTCCAGTCATGTCTGACTCTGGGGTGTGGTGCTCATCTCCATTTCTAAGCCGAAGAGCCAGCGTTGTCTGTAGACACCTCCAAGGTCATGTGGCCAGCATGACTGCATGGCGCGCCGTTACCTTCCCGCCGAAGCGGTACCTATTGATCTACTCACATCTGCATGTTTTCGAACTGCTAGGTTGGCAGAAGCTAGGGCTGACAGTGGAAGCTCACGCCGCTCCCCGGAATCGAACCTGCGACCTTTCGATCAACAAGCTCAGCAGCTCAGTGCTTTAACCCACTGCGCCACCGGGGGCCCATTTAACATACATTCAAATCACAAAGAAATGGAAGATCAAGAATTTTAGTAGCTAACAGACTATTACACTGATCTCCCATTCAAGCAAAGTGATGATTAATATTCTATAAGAAAGACTTTTACCCTATACATCGGATGTCCATATTGGATTGTCAAAAGGAAGAGGCATCAGGTATCTTGTTGCAAACATACATATGCTGAGTAATAGAACACATTAAAAGACACTATGTAAAAGACACATTTTACTATGCAGTTGAATATAATCTCTTATACAATTGCTAATTGGCACTGACTGTTTCATTTCTAAAATCAGCTAATGAGACTACGTGCATTTATGGATTAATGTTGAGCAGGGACAAATGTACCATGATTGGAAACGCTCTTCACAGACCTGTCAGATGTTTGTGGCTTAAAAGATCAAGATAGTATGACTAACAATCAAGAATAATAGGAGTTGTAGTTCAAAACATGCCTGCCAAAAACATCAAGAAATATAGATTTATAGATGGGTTAAACCACTGAGCTACTGAGCTTGTTGACTGAAAAGTTGCAGGTTCGAATCCGGGGAGCAGCATGAGCTTCCGCTGTTCAGCCCCAGCTTCTGCCAACTTAGCAGCTTGAAAATATGCAAATGTGAGTAGATCAATAGGTACCGCTCCGGCGGGAAGATAATGGCACTCCATGCAGTCATGCCAGCCACATGACCTGGAAGGTGTCTACGGACAACGCCGGCTCTTTGACTTAGAAATGGAGATGAACACCAATCCGCAGAATCGGACACGACTGAACTTAATGTCAGGGGAAAACCTTTACCTTTACCTATCTAATGGAGCCCTGGTGGTGCAACGGGTTAAATGCTGGCAGGACTGAAGACCAACAGGTTGGAGGTTCGAATTCTGGGAGAACACGGATGAGCTGCCTGTGTCAGCTCCAGCTCCCTATGCAGGGACATGAGAGAAGCCTCCCAGAAGGATGGTAAAACATCAAAACATCAGGGTGTCCCTCGGGCAACGTCCTTGCAGATGGCCAATTCTCTCACACCAGAAGTGACTTGCAGTTTCTCAAGTCACTTCTGGCATGAGAAAAATAAATAATGGTGTCCCTATGTTGCATTGTAGTTTGTTTGATGATTTATCATTTTTCCTATTTTTGTGTATTAAGAGAATACTAGGGATCTCCAGGGGAAAGCCATTGTCTGACTCCATATAAATTCAGCTTCAGAAATGTCTGGTTCTTAAAACTTGGACACAAGATGAAGAAGGTTTTTCTTTGGGGCCAGTAAACAGTTTCCACTCCCGAAATTTCTCAAATTAAATTTTGAGTGGGTAAGTCTTTTTATTGGTCTTTCTTACTTGGATTTTATATTTGTGTTTATTTAATGTGCTTATTTATTTTATATAGTGAGCCCTTGCTATCTGCTGGATTTGGTTCCAGGATCCCCTGTACATACGAAAAACTGTGGATTCTCAAGTCCTGTTATATACAATGACATAGTAAACTGATGTCTCTCACATAAAACGACCTCACAACCTCTGAGGATGCTTGCAAAGAGAATGCTTCTATAACATGGCCATATAGTCCGAAAAACCTACAATAACCCGACAAAATTAAAATTTGCTTTTGCATTGGATGGCATTTTCAAGCCACAGATAATTGAACCTGTGGATACAGAAGGCCAACTGAAGAA